TTTTTTTCGTGGTTTTTGTATTAGACCCGTCGTCCATTTATTTGTAACTCAATGGGTAGAGCGTTGTCGATGAACTTCCCTTCATATTTTATCCAGGCTTAAGACTGGCTGCAAATTCTTACTTAATACATATGTCTAAGTGTTTTCTGGGTAGGTGTGCTTTTAAATTGCCCGTGCTTGATTTGTAGCTGTACAGCTCACCGCACAATAGACATTTTCCTTTTTTATTTATACTGTCTTTGGTAAAATAGTCCCACAACAAAATTGGCGCGAGACGCTATTATTTTTGGTAAAATTTCTATACAAATTATTTACAATATAATATACACACCACAATAATTTGAAATATTTACATTTTATAAAACCTCTTATGAATTTAATAACAAAACAATTTTATTTGTTTCAGAAACAAATTTTTTATATTTTATAATCGTATTTTATAATAAGACGCGACTTCACACACGTAACGGTCAACTGTCAAGGACAAGTCAATTGAACGAGATTGATTGTTATACTTACATGATATTATTAATAACTATTTCATGGTTAAGAGGGAGCAGAGGAAAAATTCTTAATCTTCGATTTGATTTTAGAGGGGTATATCCACTTTAAAGTTCAAAATAAAATATTGTATGAGTAACTACACGATATATTCAAGCATAGACATTAATCAGAAACATAAAACTATAAAGTTTCCTCGATAGATAAAAATCACGAAATGACCTCTAATTTTCACATTTTTTCGATTTATCCTCGAAATGCTACAGGTTATTAGGACAAAAATTAGATAATTAATTATATTTATGCATGTTCGACAACTGTCATTACGGATTTTTTTAAATCCGTTTAGTTTTAGAGTTATTCCCATTGACTTACAAATAAATGGTCTAATACAAAAACCACGAAAAAAATGTCCCAAGTCAACCTATTCGAAATTTAAATTGTAATGTCATCGCAGTATCGCGCTGTCAGTAGAACAAATGAAGACTAAAGCGGAGTGCGCGCTCTGTATACGATTTTAGCGCCTTACAAGTGCGGACACTTTTTAGCGCGGACCGACGTCCATATAATTGTAAGTCAATGGTTATTCCGCTAAAACGAATTTGGTACTCATAATGCGCAAAATTCAACATCTCCTGTCGCATGTCACTAGAACTTCAGGCATATATTTGTTTCACAAATTTGGGCGGAGTCAACGTCAAAACTTTTTTGGCATGCTCCCTCTTAATTGCACTTCAATTTAAAGATTATTATGCTATGGCCACACAGAGGCGGCCGCGGCCGACGCGCGACAGCCGCGCGTTTCGATGTGGCAGGGTTCATATGACTTCGTACATTATATCGTAGATATGAATTTTACCGGGCTTTATAATACTGTCAAATCGAAATCTACCCTTAGCTCGGACGCTCTGGATATGAAAAGTAACCCATATTTAAGGTCTGGTGAGTAACCAGTTACTCGGACGGAATAAATAGTTTGAAACCCAACGGAATAAATAGTTTCATTTGACAACTAAAACCCAAAAGCCGCTACTGTACCGATCGATAGCTAGTTTCAGAAACTGTTTACGTTCTGACATACAATTTACATAATTAATAAGTTTTACTAATTATAAAAATCCAACAAATCTTCTAGGTATTTTTAAACGCAGTAACAAGAGGGTCGGTGTGCGGTGTGGTGGGGAAGAGGCCATCCCTTCTGCTCACTGACGCTGCCACGGCGCTAGGATCCGAAGGGGGGCCGGTGTACACAGAAGGACCAACGTAAGTTACGTAACTTTTTTGCAGATGCAGATGAACCACTTAGGCTGCTTTTCCACTGGAGATGTGCGAGGTAGCTAGCCGGTGTGCGAGGAAAAAATCCACCACTAGGATTACTTCATTTCCCTAGTCTCGCTTAGCACAGCTCTGACAGAAAAGAGCTAGCGGAGCTAAGTATTTGTACATGCTATATACTATAATAGCGAGAAATGTGTGCAAGAGAGATGTGTGCGGGGGATGCGACGAGGAATGTGTACGAAGCGGTGTAAGAAACTAGAGCTACTGAAAGTATGATACTCACCCCACCACCCCGTACCCCGCCCGCGCGTAACTGAAAAGAGTACGTAACACATCCTCGCACAGTTTTGGTGGAAAACATCTCACCGTTTCACAGCGCCACTACACATCCGCACACCTCTGGTGGAACGGCAGCCTAAGAGTGGTTAGACACGGTGACTCTTCGCTAATCGCGTTTGCATCGTTGCTTAAAATCACACGCGTGTGTAAAGGTAGACGCTTAGCAACAGCATCGCTGCTCAAAGTCGTCGTGTGTAACCGCCCTTATTGGGACATAGTCATCATCCCCCGTGGACATTTGAAACATTAGAAGAGCTGCCTACCCTTTGCCTGCCCCGTTTTTTGACACTCCTTTCGTGCACCCCATAAGAAAAATAACTTGATAACTATTTTTTTATGTTTAAAATTTAATTTAATCAATATTAAACTGTTACAATTTTTAAATTACACAAAATTAAAAAAAACCTACTAAGTCGATATTAAAAGATATCAATTTACTTGCTGACCCTGTTCTTCTTATTCTATTTATTCAAAATTATAAACGTTACTATTTTATAATTTCACTTTGTTTTTAGTCTGCTAAATGTGCCGGTGAGTGTATAAACATTTATGAATCCCATGTTTCATTTCATTATTAAACAGAGTTGGGCAGGCGCTCGGGTTTTATATAACCGAGGGCAAAAACTCTTCACAACTAAATATTTGTAAATCGTGTTTTATTCAAATATAATCATGTTATTAAAAAACTGTTTATTGCTTGGTTACAGCAATAAACAATAAGGCAAAATAGCTGTTCTATTGAATCGTAGTTGATTAATGAATCGATACAAAAACTAGTTATTTTATATATACACTTGAATGGATTTTCATGAAAATCGATTCGTAATGTGCATCTCTAGTAGTAAATAAGAGTAACAGGATTTCCAGGTGGGTATTGTGTGAAGTTGCCTCATTTTCGTCTAAAAAAAATATTTAATAAGTAATAAATTTGTAATAAGTAGGATATTATATCAAATTCCTTATACGCCGTTTTTGCCCACGATTTTGGGTGGAAATGGGTAAAACCCGGCTGCTTTACGTAAAAACCCGGGCGGGTTGATTGAGTTTTAACCCACTGCCCATCTGTGTTATGTAATTTTCGATGGAACCTAGAAACAAATTGTCTAAAACACCCATTTTTTTTTCATTATTATCGATGAATAATTCGTTTGCACATTCCGGTTCTGAACGCAGGAAGGAGCTCATAGGGACAGTCGTATGCAGCGTGTCGTGGTGGCGTGGTGAATGGGTGGGGCTGACTCTAATGGCACCGCTTGTGTCCGTACTATCTGCGAAGCTACGAGTAGCACCTCCACGCATTCAGAAGTCGTTGACCACCGGACCACATCGAGATTTACTAGGTAAGTTATATCTTAATTAAATTTTTATTGAATTGATAGTCAATTATTTTTTGTGAAATTACTCCACTAGTTTGTTATAATTATTAATACAAAGATCGAACACTCAGAAAAGATTCCTTCGATCCGGTCGGATTCGAACCGACGTCTCCTTGCATACCGTGCCAGACGCTATACCAACTAAGCCACGGAACGAACCAACGGACCTCACGAATTTTTCTATGTGCTTGAGTCGTGTCTTTGTATTTGGTTTTTCAACGACTTTTTAGTCGTAGCGCCATCTATGAGAAATCTATGAAAGATTTATCACCCAGTTAGTACCTTTACAGCTACCAGTCCTGGCGAGAGATGTCGCTATTCACCGTATTAATTAATTTTTTATTGAATTGATATTCAATTCTTTTTTGTGAAATTACTCCACTAGTTTGTTATAATTATTAATACAAAGATGGAACACTCAGAAAAAATTCCTTCGATCAAGTTATATCTTGTCAAGAAGATATCCATAATAATATTAATCTTAGAACTGAGTCCAAACCATCACGTTTTCGTTTAACTAATGGGTAAATGATTATTTTACGGGGAACTGTATACGTTTTTACAATAAGATTCCGGAGTATATATTAAGATTCTTCATCATCACCATTCAGCCATATGACGCCCACTGCTAGGCCTCCCCAACGATCTCCACGACGATCGGTCCTGCGCTGCCCCAATGGCCATCGGTTCTCCTAGCTATGTGCCCCGCCCACTGCCACTTCAGCTGAGCAATTCTTCGAGCTATGTCGGTTACCTTAGTCCTCCTACGCATTTCCTTATTTTTGATTCTATCACGTAGAGAAATACCGAGCATCGCTGTCTCCATTGCCCGCTAAGTGACCTTGAGCCTTCTTATGAGGCCGATGGTGAGGGACCACGTTTCTGATCCGTATATTAAGATTATCATTTCAGATTTAAAACTTGCATTAAAAGTGTAATAGTTGAAAAGTCATATTACAAAATTGAAGAGTATTTGTTAGATAAAGATGTATAGAAAGACAACATGAGTCTAGATTCCACAGAATTATGATTCAAAGTGTAGGTATTCCATAGCATTTATTTGAAAAGAGCAATCTCTAGAGTTTCTTGCTCGTTAGTCTCAGGGAGGTCAGCGTAGTGAACGGGCAGTAGCTTAAAAAAAGACGTTTTCAAGCATTGACTTACAATTATATGGACGTCGGATCCGCGCTAAAAAGTGTCCGAACTTATAGGGCGTTAAAATCGTATACAGAGCATCATTCACGCTTTAGTCTTCGTTTGTTCGACTGACAGCGAAGCAAGCAAAATTAGACAGTACTGCGATGACATTACAATTTAAATTCAACGTTTTAGCTTTTTCATATTTCTTTACATGTCTTTTAAAGGGTTGATTTGGGACATTTTTTTCATGGTTTTTGTATTAGACCCGTCGTCCATTTATTTGTAAGTCAATGTTTTCAAGTGTAAAAATTTTACCTATGGATTAATATTTATATGGTCCGTGGTTTATCTCATCACTTGATAGTCATAAAAAAAAAATGTGGATGTAATAATGTTACAGATCAAATAGACTCAACAACGGTGCTGGTCCGATGTGGTGTGGCGTGGGGAGCTGGACTTTACCTCGGTGGAGGATACGTGGTCACTTGCGCACACGTTGTACGAAATGTAAGCGAAATCTATGTATACTCAAATTTGAAGCATAATTAGTTTTTCTGTTTACACTGGTTGTTAATTGACAGTAGTAAAATAATAATATAGTTTCATTGTGCCCGGACAAATCGACCCCTCCTACATAAAGTATCGTATATGTCGAAATTGCCAAGTTTACATGGGAGCGTTTTAAAGTTTTGAATTCACATAAATCGATCCGCCCTACGTAAAGTATCGTATGTCGAAGTTGCCAAGTTTTGCAGGGGCGCCTTTTAAAGTTCTGAATTCTCTGAAATAAGCACAACACGTGCTTTTAGTATTTGTCAGTTTTATTCGGCAAAGTCGTTACTCACATAGAGTATTATAAAATCCTAGATTTCGGTTAGATGATGTGTGATCATCTATTAGATCTATTAGATAATCACTCTATGTGAATAACGAGCTTTGCCGAATAAAACGGAAAACTTTAAAAGGCTCCCCTATAAACTTGGCAATTTCGACTTACGATACTTTACGTAGGAGCGGTCGAAATAAGCTAAAATAAATTGTAAAATGATAAAATAAATTGTGGTTGTTCATCTAACTGATATCTAGGATATTCTAATAGTCCATGTGAGTGACGAGCTTTGCGAATAAAACTGAGAAATGCTAAAGTCACGTGTTATGCTCGTTTCAGTCAAATCAAAACTTTACAACGCTCCCCTGTAAACTTGGCAATTTCGACATACGACACTTTACGTAGTACAGGTCGAAATAAGCAGTCAAATTTTTGTCATTATAACATATTGCATGAAACAACTTTTTTAATACAGTTATTCAAAACGTGGTATTTTTCATACTACAAATAGTGTCGAAAGTTGGATTTTTCGCACTAGTGCTTTTTACTTTTCTATTTTGTTTTATTTACTGTTGTTTCAAGTCTTAAACATAAATCATTTCAAGTATAAAACATATTTCATTTCAAGTCTTAAATTAAAATTACTTGTCTCGAGGCTCGAAGGCTCGAGACTCGTGAATAATTTCTAACTTTCGCACTTGTATCGCACAACTCAAAAACGCAACTCACAACTCACAAAATTACGCTCATCTTACCTCACACTTAGTGTGAATTTTAATGGATCCATTGAAAATAGTATGCAATAATGAAGCATTAGAAGATGTTCTTAAAAGAAAAAGAAGCTGGGTACATCCACACAATATGAAACGATTAAAGTGTGAGCAGTTTCATATATTATATACAATTTTATGTGAACATCCAGATCAATTTGTTAAGTACTCCCACATGCCAATAAATGTTTATCAAGAACTATGTCCAAACTCGGTGATAAATTTTCCCGTATCGAATATTTTCGCAAGAAACGTGTATACACAAGCGCATCCTATACGAAAGTGACCCCTTCCCTCACCCCTATCTCCACCCACGTCAGCCCGACAGCTAGTGGTACAAGCTCTTAATTTTGATTATAGTGACACTCACTACCTACCCTGAGGGCATATGAGAAGGGCACTATACCTTATAAGTTCAGGTTCTGACCCCAGATCAGCCAGTGTACATAATTGTCACTGACCTCTGTAACTTGACTTGATCTGGTACTTCGAGAGGTTAGTACCTCGGGTGGGCGGCCCCAGGTGCACGTACAGTACCCTCTCTATTTTCCAGATAGGTACCGGAGCTGTAGGCACGCTCACTTCCCGTTGCGGTTGTAGTAGTACCAACGCCTGCCCTTTTTATTATGGCAATAAAGCACTAAAAACTTTTGCTTCTTTAATTTAATCAGGCACTTCTTCGTAAAATTTTCAATCGGTTATATTTTTTAACTCATGTAGATAAGAAGCGTATACCTTAATTCGTGAAGCCAGCAAATGGATAGCAATTGTTGGTAATACATACTTCTGGAAAATCTGCTCCCTTCACGCTGAACAAAGTGGCGACCAGCCATCCTGACGTCAGAATGGCTGGTCAATTATTTTTTTTATTTCTCAGACTATATCAAAGGTAGCAATTATTTAGAAAAGATAGCAAATAGGTAGCAATTCTTGAATATACACTCAGTGCCAGATGCGACAGGCGACCAGCCATCCTGACAGTCACGACTTTGCCTGCTTGTCATGACACTGCATACGTGCAAATGTTTTTTTATCTTAAATCATAATTCTGTTAAATTTCAGTACGGCAGCTACAAAGTGTCCATCTACTGCCAAGGAGTGAAGGAAACAGCAATAGTACGATACAAGACGGCAGACGACAAAGCATTTGACTTGGCATTATTGTATACGAATCCTCAGAACTGGAAACAGTTCACTCCGGCCGTGTTCGCCGTAGATTCTGCTGAGAAAGGTAATGAACAACATTTACGAATCTGTAGGTAAAAAACCTTAAGTCAGGGCTCCGTCACTCGCTCCAGGTTACGATAAGGGAACGGGAAGCAACGTCGCCTGATCTACCAATCGCGCGCTCGATATGACCTTAGACTATTTTTTTCCATCCTCTATATAGGATACGACAGTACCCCGCCCCGTCGCTACCCGCCCCCACCACCAAATAGATCTAAAATGCGTTTCTTTCTGCGCATCTATGGTCATTGTTAAAAATTTTTGCAAGTGCCAACGCCGTGCAAGACAATGACATTTGGATCAAATTTGTTTACCGCAATTAAATAAAAAATAGGAATTTACGAATTTTTTTTTTTTATTTATTTTTTTAGTGATTTGGGTCCAGTTTCGGATATAGAATGACCTCAGTAAATATGGCGAGCATACAAATCAACACGCTGTATATAAAGTGCAGATTTACCTTTCTTACAAATTACGTGAATAGATTTTTATTAATTGTAGGAGAGTCAGTACTGGCGGCAGGGTATCCATACTTCAACGAAAATAACCTGGAAGACCTGAAACCAACTGTTACCACGGGACACATCAACAACGCGTCGCCTTCTATGATACAGACCTCGTGCTGCGTGCAATCAGGGTTCAGGTGATTTCTTTTTAACTTATATTCTGGGTTTACTTATACCGTTTCTGTATCAGGCTTCAGTAAAAGAAATTAAGTTTCACTGAAAAGTACCTGCATCTACCCAACACCTAAACCACGACCAAAAATTATCTAAAAATGCATATTCTAATTCCTCAACTTAGTAATTCTTATTCTTCTGGTGGGACTTTTTTTATAATATCAAGTGACGGGACGAACAAGTCGTGCACCTGATGTTAAGCTACACGCCTGTCTATTATAGTTGCACCGCCAAACAGAGCTTTAAGTCGCAAAGATCTAAGGGACACTACCACTGCGCCTGTCACCTTGAGACATAAGTTAACAAATCCCATGTGCCTGTAATTGCACTAATTGCATGCACGTTGAATAAGTACATATACTGTTAACTGTTTTTTTGTTTGTTTTTTATTATTTTTTTTATATATATTTTATTTTTAATATTATTAATGTAAGTGTTTTTTAATCATATTATAGTCGTAGTTTTTATACTTACATACCATGGCAATTGTATTTTTTATACTGTTGATTTTTACCTCTTGGTTGTACTGTATTTACGTAGTGATATCCAGTGAGTGGAGAAACACTGAATCGCAAAATTGAAGCTTTTGCTTGGTTTGGGATTCGGGAGTTTTAAACGTTTTATGTAAGTAGCACGTAAAGTCATAGATATAAGTTTTTTTAAGTAACGTACCTACTGTACTTTTTTTTAATGTTACTGTATGTGTATATGAATGAAATAAATATTATTATTTCATTTGTAATAAGATATAAATTTCAATGATCTGAGACGCAGAGAGAATTGCGTAGCCATGCTCCGAGTCGGTCTCAAGGGTATTGCAATTTATACCTTATTTAATTGAAATAGCATTAAAAAAATCCGAACACTAATGACTAACTTTATTTATAAGTTATTTAAATGTACACATTTGCCATTAGACCGTTCAAGTGTGCAGCATACTTGGAGTACTCGTACCGACGGCGGTACACTCAGCGGTAGGCACTAGACGCGTGATCTTAAGCGGGTGACGTCGCCCGGCCACGAGAGTCAAAACCTTGTTCACATATCTAATATTATGTTTCTTTCAGCGGCGGACCAATATTCCGAATATCGAAGAGAAAAACGCATGTGGAAGTTCTGGGCATCATAGTAAGCAACGCTAAAACCGAGACTGGCGCGTGCTACCCGTACATCAACATGGCTGTACCCACGCGAGCGTTCATACATTTATTGCAGGATTACATACAGGACAAAGGTGAGGACTATTTTGTTTAATAATATTGTTTATTAGAGATTATCGCCACATAATTATAGTCCTTAAAAAGACAAGAGCCAAAAGGGTCATTGCGCAAAAGTGCGCGCCCACTTGCGAGCAGCCAATGATTGCAGTCGATAAATATTCTATCGACTATCGACTGAATGTTGGTTACGCTCATGAAATAAAAAGCGGAACTTGTTTCATTTCATTCATTATCGGCCCATTATATGTCTAACTGCTGGGCACAGGTTAATTTGAATTATTAATTCTTGAAAATTCATTAAAACACACTAAATTTAAAAGTATGTCTATAAAAAAGTGTGTGGCATATTTAAAGTTTTTCATTATTGTTTCTTATACCTAATAAAATCCATCTGTTGTTAAAATAGATAAACTGTCAAAATAAGAATAAAGATCAAAGAATACTGATTACAGTAGAACGTCGTTATTTTACATTAACAATTCAGACATTTTAGAGAAAATTGTACTTACTTTCACAATCTATCGATAAAGTTGTCGACTACAACTACATGACTATTTAAAATTTTACAAAAACTAGCAACCCTGCAATTGTCATTTTACTCTATCTCTAATGTTGGGTAATTTTCCGAAAAATTTCAAATAGTGGAAATTTTTCCGGTAAAAAGAATATTTTATATTATACTTTAATACCGAACGCTTGGACAAACTCAGTAGTTTCATTTCTACTAAACAATTTTTAACAAAGTAGAAATTTAAAAGTAAATATTTCTTTCCAGATGGCACGAAGTTGAAAATTATTGAAAATGACAAAGAAATGATCCAATCACAGTGGAGACTGATGCCCTATAGATCCAAGATATGAAAAACCTTTACGAGTAGGGCGTATAAAATATTCATATAGTGTAGCCGCCAGACCTAGAAGAGGATGTAAAGAATCTCGACGAGCTAGTGGAATCGAAGACAATTTATAGTTTACTCTAGTATTTTGGCAATAGGTAGCCAGTTTACTTCTTTTGGAAGGCCACATTAAAAGGGAACGTTGTTTTTGACCTTTGTTAGTTGATACAAAAAATTCGTTAAGTACTAGGTAGCAAGGACCTATAACTAAAGAGGTCTGTTATTCACGATACAAGACAGCGTAGTCGGGTATTTAGTACCCTTTGGTACTCCAGATGTAGTGACGAGTACCAAATAGCAATTTTTGTAACTACAAGTACCGGCGGCACGCTATGATGGCCAAATATACCCAAATATATTTTTAGTGGTGGTTTGTGACTGTAGTTGCGCGTGTCTTATTTATTTTATTAATTTTATGCGGAAGGAGGGCGGGAAAATTAACTGCATGAAAAAAAATATATATTCATCACAAGCGCAGGTAAGTTGTACGATTTAACCTTCGCTGGGTTCGCGGAGTAGCAAATTAATTTACTTTCATTTTTGTTTGTCAGCACAGCAAGTGTCGTAGCTAATTGCTGTACATTGTTGTCAATAATAGTGACGTGCAGTCATTGACTTACAAATAAATGGACGACGGGTCTAATACAAAAACCACGAAAAAAATGTCCCAAGTCAACCTATTTAAACGTAGTGACATGTAAAGGAATATGAAAAAGCTAAAACGTTGAATTTAAATTGTAATGTCATCGCAGTAATTTTGCTTGCTTCGCTGTCAGTCAAACAAACGAAGACTAAAGCGTGAATGACGCTCTATATACGATTTTAACGCCCTATAAGTTCTGACACTTTTTAGCGTGGACCCGACGTCCATATAATGGTAAGTCAATGCGTGCAGTAATATTTATGGAATGTATAATTTTACGACACAACTTGGCATTTGTTTTTCGATATTCGAAATTTATAAAAATTAAATATAACAGGTATACTAAGTTTCATTGCAGTATTCGGTTCATTGAAATATATTATAAACATTTTTATTTTCGTTTTATTAAAATTTTTAATCGGCTACCCCTACTCGCATTTCATTACTTATTCATTATTATTTCATTATTTCCTACTCGCATTACATTTTTCTTGTCATATTTAAGAATAATAGAAATAATGCTAAATCATCTAAAAATATTTAAAAAATTATTCTGTTCAATATTCGACCTAATTGTACCTAGTAAAGTTTTGCAAAATTGTCTCAAGTCGTATGCACCACGCATGGGCAGTGACCCCGCCACCCGCTTCACCGAGCAATACGTAATCTTTCTCGATCGCTTATTTACCTATTTTTTTAATTATGGTTATGTACTAGTATTGTTATAATTTACATTAATTAGAAAAGTTGGTTGAAAAAAGTTTTTTTGTAACTTAGATTTGGTACTTATACCAACTTTAGGTTACATGAAAGTATTGCTAGAAGTATCTAGCTCCACCGCTGGTGGCTGGCTGCATACCGGAGCCACTATCAGCTATGCAGAGATTCGCACGTGAGTTTCGTTTCAACATTAGACTCCACAACTTTGAAAGCAGAAACTTCGACACTCGTATTCTCCGCGTAAACTAAACGTTTCACATCATGCCATAAGAACTGACACGCACTTGTACTTGATGGATTACCATGCAGGTTCTGGTGAACCTGGTAGCGGTTCTTTTTTGCACTACTAACTCTTCTTCTTCTTTTAAATGTTATGGCTCCATCGAAATAATCAATGATTTTGCCAATGTCAAGTAAAAATAACTATGTACGGTAGTTTAATATTATTATAAAAATTATACAAAAAAATGGCGATTTCGCCAATGTCCTGTGAGAAATAAATGTTTACATACCAAATCACATGGCATTTCGTGACAGACTAGAATAGAATGTATGCGGGATGTCAGCGTGACGTAGACGCAGTACGAAAAGCAAGGTTGACTGATCTACTACTCGTCGCTACTACCTTGGAGTTCAAGTTTATCGTTTCAATCAGTCTGACACGACGGATCGTGAAGACGAATCGTCCCTTATATGGCGGCCATAAGGAAACAGCAAAATCTTTTTCTTCTGCATAACATTAAAACCCCTTACACTCTAAGGTTCCCAAAGTGAACCACGCCGCCCCCAGTGGGCGCTAAAGAGTACTAAGTCTAAAGAGTCCTAGTGGGACGGTAGGTGCCTCGAAAGCAATAATTGGGGACGTCGATGCTCTCTAGGAAGTGCTACCGCATTTGAAAAAAAAAACCTGTATTATCTATATAAACTACACTATAATTTTTTTTTCTTGTGACTTTTTGCGTTGCCTATGGTAATATAAAAATATGTGTTTTTAATTATTTTTTCTAGTGGTGGTTGAAAACTTATGCCTTAGAGGATGAAAAAAAAAATTAGAACCCAGAAAAAAAAAATTTCAACAGCTGTCATTGTCTCTCCGTCTACGTCTATGACATTGTAATTTCCTTTTTTCCATCCTCTAAACCCAAGAAGATGGAAAAAATAAAGATAGAAATATTGTGCCTGTCAAAATGTGACTCTTGGAGACCGTTGCATGGTCAACATAAAAATATATCACAAAAATTGTTGTTTATACGAAGACTGAAGAAACAAAGAAAAATTCCATCGATCGGACCGGACTAGAGCCAGTGTCTGCATACCTTACCGGGGCTACTGCTCTTCTAAATGACCTTTGTATCAATAATAATTACAAGCTAGTGTAGCATTTTTACAAAAATATATGAATATCAAGAAAAATATTATGATATTTATTACAAATAAATATGTGAGAAAAATAGATACATTTTATTTATTCAAACAAAAAAAAACTTTTATTCCCATAGGTAAAATAAATTTACTGCTCATTCACTGTGCCGACTTCCTTTTCTTTCATTTTATTCTTTTCAAATAAGCTTAAATGCTTTGAAATATACTGTGTATCAAATTTGTGTGGAATCTAGAGCCATGTCATATTTCCCATACCTCTTTATCTAACACATACCTAGTCTTCAAAGTAAAAGTAATACGACTTATCAATTAAAACACATTTAAAGTAAGTTTTAAACTTAGCAGGGTTGCCAGTTTTCGTAAAATTTTAAATAGTCATGTGGTTGTTTTCGACAGTTTTATCGATAGATTGTGAAACTAGGTAAATTTTTTGCCAAATGAAACATGTCTGTATTGTGAATGTTACGACGTTCTAATGATTACTTTGATCTTTTTTCTTATTTTCAAAGTTGGTCTATTATTATCAAAATCAATTTTTTGTCATACACATTTTATTAACGACAGACGGATTTTATTAGGTATCTGAAACAAAAATGAAAAACTTTAAATACGTCACATATTTTTTTAATAGACATACTTTTAAATTTAGTGTATGTTTCAATGAATTTAAAACAAATAATAATTTAAATGGACCAGTGCCCGACAGTTAGACGTATAATGGGCCGATATGAATAAAATAAGTTCTCTTTATTGAGCGTAACCAACGTTCAGTCGATAGTCGATAGAATATTTATCAACTGCAATCACTAGCTGTTCGCAAGCGGGCATCACTTTTGCACAATGAACTGTCATTTTACTCCGTCTTCAAAAAAGACAGACTATAGCTACCCACAGCACAGGGGATTCTAGTTTGGGAGCTAGGCACATCTCTGTATCTATTTTTCTATACTTTGCAATAAAGTTTTTTTTAAGGTAAGCAGGGACTGTAGACGTGCACATGACGTACCCTTTCTGCTTCCTCTATTAGATCTTTTTATATACGCTCATTTATTTTAGTTACTTTTGGCAAGGCCTTTTTCTCCATCTTCAAAAAAGACAAAATGATAATATTACGAAAAGTACGTAATTTCAATTTGATTTAGTGGTACAGGTGAGGACACTTTAGCCCTCTCTAGTGTCTAAACAAGCGTAGAGACCCGCCGTCAGAGCAACGAGAACCTACAGTTGAGATATAAGTTGACAAGTCCCAAGTGCTTGTAATTTCACCAGCACCCTTACCCTCCAAAACCGAAACATAGTAATGCGGCGGCAGATATAAGATGGCAGTACTTTCCTAGACGAACTCTTTCACAAGAAGGTCTACTGCTACTAAAAAGCACTCTCCTAAAGAGTTTGCAAATATAGCGTTTTTAAATTAAGAGGCTGTACTACCTCAAATGGCTTTGGTTGATTTCGCATAGCAGTGACAATGTTGAATCCAATCACTTTGGAAAAAATACATTGTCAAATTGAGTACTATACGCATTGACTTACAAATAAATGGACGACGGGTCTAATACAAAAACCACGAAAAAAATGTCCCAAGTCAACCTATTTAAACGTAGTGACACATTGACTTACAAATAAATGGACGACGGGTCTAATACAAAAACCACGAAAAAAATGTCCCAAGTCAACCTATTCGAAATTTAAATTGTAATGTCACCGCAGTATCGCGCTGTCAGTCGAACAAATGAATACTAAAGCGGAGTTTAGCGCTCTGTATACGATTTTAGCGCCTTACAAGTGCGGACACTTTTTAGCGCGGACCCGACGTCCATATAATTGTAAGTCAATGTAGTGACATGTAAAGGAATATGAAAAGCTAAAACGTTAAATTTAAATTGTAATGTCATCGCAGTACTGTCTAATTTTGCTTGCTTCGCTGTCAGTCGAACAAACGAAGATTAAAGCGTGAATGACGCTCTGTATACGATTTTAAAGCCCTATAAGTTCGGCCACTTTTTAGCGCGGACCCGACGTCCATATAATTGTAATGACTATACGACATACATTTTTCAAATGGTTTTATTTTCGTTTGTAAACATATATTCTGAAATAAACCTGCGCACCTAGCGCTCCACCTACGTAAAATGGACCGTATTAGTACGGGAAAACTTTGAATTCGAGCTAAGACAGTGTAGACTCTTAATGATGTGATATTATTTTACTACAGTAAATATATTTCAATGAAAACCCTCAAACGTCTTCTTTATTGCGATTTTTGTGCTAACAGTACTCAGCGGGCGATGGCGGGGTGACATTGAACGATGCGGGAGGGGAAATGACATCCATAGATATTTTCGAGAGTAAAAGGTCGAACTTTCAAAGGTGAAGTGAAAAATAATATTTTAAATTATTTTATCCTAAAAGAAGTGTTCTAGTGTAATAACTATACAAAGATAATGGCGCGGAAAGGACAGTTGTCCATCCAGGACAGCATCGAGAACGACGAAGAATTTGATGCATATATCGAAGCTAACTATGATAGACTTATTTGTATGTGTATCTTCACCCTTCATAAATTCAAGGCCCATTTATGCGAAAAGAGTTTCTAAGATAGGATTATCGAAAGAATATAAAAAAGTTTCCTCATGCAAATATTCGCTAATAACGTCCGTCCATATGAGCGATAATCGCTTCGCTATTGAACATCTCCGTGTAAACAGATGAACTCGGAATAGCAAATCTCGCACTCGCAGCGGCAGCGAGCGGTACTAACCGATTTGCACGATACTCGCTTGGTCTTGAAAAAATGTTATACGAGAACGTATTTTCAATCGAATCACGTAAAATCATTGTACATATCGAGAACTCATAGGCAAGAATGTCCTTGCTATATATTTCTTTGCGTTAACAAACGCTGCAAGCGATAAGTTACTTGCGAATCTTGTATGATATAATCGTGGGCGACATTTTAGTTCTTGTCTAATGCTATAGATGAAATGGATAGTGATTTGGCCGGATACCGAATATCCGGCGAGCAACTAGATCCGGCCGCCGGATATCGGGACCCACTGTCGCAAACATCTCACGACCGATTTATAGCGCGCATCGCCGTGATTGATTGCACTTTCGCATTGACGATTTGAGTTGTTGTAGTCACATGGTTTTTGTTAAAACGGTAAATTTATTCGATAATACCATTGACTTACAAATAAATGGACGACGGGTCTAATACAAAAACCACGAAAAAAATGTCCCAAGTCAACCTATTCGAAATTTAAATTGTTATGTCATCGCAGTATCGCGCTGTCCGTAGAACAAATGAAGACTAAAGCGGAGTGTCGCGCTCTGTATACGATTTTAGCGCCTTACAAGTGCGGACACTTTTTAGCGCGGACCCGACGTCCATATAATTGTAAGTCAATGGATAATACAAACAAATACACAACAGACAAATTTCAACAGTGAAAAAAAATAGCCAATTAAGCTATATTTTAATATCAGTGCTGTTTGTTTGTTGTACTGATGAAAATTTCTTGTGTTGAAGGAAAAAAACAGTAACATCATTTCTTTGTCTATATTAAAATTTCTCATTGTTATGCCACTTACTTGGTACTTGGTGCAACGGGCATGGTATGTGTTGTTATGCCGCAAAAATAAATCTTATAGGGGGTGAAATAGGAGATGAAAATTTCTTTGTAGAACCCATGGAGATCCGATAAAACTATGAAAATAAATATAGTACGGTAGGTAATTCGATGTACTTATCTATTCTACGCAAACGAAGTCACGAGCATATGTTAAGTTTGGTTTGTTTAAAAAAATACTACGAATAGAACTAAACGCATTTAATGTGAATTATTTTTAATAAAGGTATGGAAGTGTACTCAGAATTCTGTGGCCCCAGTCAAGCAACTCAGAATGCAGTCAGGAAAGGGAAACTTGAAATCGGCGGTGATGACGTTGCTATGTGTAAGGTAGGAGAGATATATAATTTTTTGTTTGTCTAATATATCCTGGTGTGCACAGTGCATTATTCTTTTTCTTTCTGCCATGCCACTTCTCTCTGTTCTGGCTCTATACTCTCATTCTCCTTCCGATACAATTACTGTGAAATAAGTAACACTGGCCAAATGAAACGACGCATGATGCGAATGAAGCTTCATACTTCACATTGGCGTTTAATTCGATCGAATATTATTATTTGACAGTAATTATTTCGGACGAATGTCAGACGGAGAACGAAAGAGAACCGTGCCACCTGCATTCAATTCAACCCCGCCACTTTCTTTTATGTCGTCCTTCCAACGCATCTGCTGTCTCCCTCTAGGACATTTTTCTCTCCAAGGTCGCCAATGCGTAAAGCATTAGCACACCCCTGATACTCCATACAACGGTCGAAAGTTATTTACCTACTTTACGTTAGTTACCCATCACTTTCTCGTACTATTTATTACGTTACGTGCTCAGTGCGGCAACGTAGCAAAAATTCTAACGCGAATCTGTTACCTATAATTCTATTAATAGAATCCTAATAATTACACATGTCCATTATGTATTTATATCGATATAATATAATATTTTTTAAGTACAGTAATATTGAAGATTTCTTTAAAAAATATATTAAAAGCACTTAAAATGTTATATTTTGGACAAGCACTTCTAAATAAGGTAACCAAGGTATTTGAAATTGCGTGTCCTAGGTTACCTAGTTAATAATTAGGCATATTCACTACATAATATTTATCGCCAATACAAATTGAAAATTCTAGAACCCTTGTCTTCTAGGTCACGAAGTTATGGCGTCTCATTATATTGATATAATAAATCTGTATGTACTCTGCACTAAATAAATGAAGAAAATAATAATTGAATGAGTCTCAGACATAAGTTTTTTTTACTTACTTCGTTTCATCTTCCGGGAAACGAAAGAAACTCCTATCTTTATCCCGTTTAGATGATGATAAACAGCTGTACACAACACAATTCACGACCATTGTAAATAGTAACTTACAATCATGTTATATATTAACGTACAAGTTTCGTCTTGAATAAATGAAAACTATATTCAAATATCAAAACCGTCTTTGCCCTTGTCGTTCAGCCAATGTGACCGTTAATGTGCGGGGTATGATGCGGTATCTAAAGCTAGGGAGGGGCAGAGAGTGTCCATTCTCGTTAGTTTTTTGTTATGTAGGATGCCCCTGGCCAGTTTTTTTTTTTTAAATTTATTATTAGTTGAAATTACATTCTAAGAAAGATTACTAGCAGCTCATGGATGCGACAAGCTGAGGACCGGAAGAATTGGTGCACATTAGGAGAGGCCAATGTCGCTGGCTGATGTTCAGTATGTTAGATTCGCCTTTTTACAAGAGCCACAGGTAATTTGACGATTTTGTTTTAGGCCCTAACCGACAATATAAGCTACCTCGAAAGATTTCGATACAAAAGCGAACCATGCTTCGTTTTCATATACGTAAGTGTTATTTTATTACTTCTGAAGAACACAAAACTGGGCAAGAAGTGTCGTTTCAGTTGTGTTTTTATACAAAAGCTTTTCCACAGGAGCGCGGGGGAATGGAAGCCTAAAAATTGATAATAAAAGTCATAATTTATGCAATTTAAATTTTTATTAGTCATGAACGTATGCTTCACATATCTGGGTACTAGATAATCACAGAAAAAATGTGAAACTAAAATGTAATATTTGGTTAAAAAGAAAAAACTAAAACATGTCATTCGCTCCCATTACCCCACAGTTCGGGAAATGGGAGGCGATAAGAATCCCGTATTTCAAATGGGAGCCATTATATATAATCAGTTTGAAAAAAAAATTAAAGTAATAAACTATATAATTTAAAAAGTAATGACAATAAACAAGAAAGTGTTAAAAGAAATATCCAGTGAATATTGCAATGGGATAAGGAGAGCCAAATAGCTCTCATTACCCGCGTAACATCGAACTGAAAAAGGACTAAAACAGTAAAAACAATTCTTTTTTTATTGTGATTTTAAGCATAACTTCTAAAATTTGATAGATATGGTGACATAGCTAGCGTAAATACAATGTAGTATCTATGCACTTTAATGCTTACCTGAGGTGATGAAATTTGGCAAATGATATAAGCGCGGAGCGAAAAACACACAACCATCTCATACGACTAAACGCGGGGTTCTACGGGGGCGCTCACGGGACTCGAACCTTGTCGAACGTTAACGAAGACATAGAAGCGCCGTTTGCACAAATACGAGCATTGGGAAAGTCCAGTTTAACACCGCTCTCATTACCCGCGGGTTCCCAATACCCCGCGTTCCCCCTATATGTCCATACACTAATGTCTTTTCACTAGTGAGATAAGATAAAAGTTTGCATGGATGTGTAATGAAACATAATACAAATAATCTATTTTAACATTTGATGTCATTTCAAAGGATATAGTCACAAGCAGAATGTTTAATTGCGTAATCAAAAAACAATACACATGAAATTATATCCAAGAAAAATATCATCTTTCATACCAAAAATAGAATTTCTCATTGAAATTTAGTAGGGGAGACCCGGGCTGGTAGTTCCCGGGGTAAGTTGTTCTCACAGCAATAACTTTGCAAGAAAAATATATAGCAATACATGTGAAGCACGTCGTTAAAGCGTCATGTGATGCGTCTTGCCGGCAGCCATTTCAGTTACTCCAGCGACGACGAAAGTGTGGCTATATGTGCGTGGAGCTGTCAAAACATCAAGTAAGTACATTTTTTCTTGTTTAAATTTTTTGATCTGTCTTTGTTTATTATGGACCGATTCATACGTAACTTTTCTAAATTGTAGTGACATTAGTAAGTAATCTTATTGTTTGAGTATTTTTTCATTGATTCTATTACTTTGCCGGTCTATCAGTCTTCGTATAAAAACGTAATTTGGGCGTATAAGTTCCTCCCTCGAGGGGCTGGTTGTTCCTAGGACCAACTTTCCCAATGGACCTGCAATAGCGATGAAAGAGACTCAGTTTTTTAAGACCTTTTAAAAAACCTCGACTAATTTTTAACTCCTCGCGACTAGTCTAGTCTCTTAAATCTCAAGTCTTGAGTCATAAGATTAGAACTGGGGACTAATTCGAGTCAAAGTCTTTAACCCTAGGAAGCTTAAAAGACTTATAGGACTAAAACAACTAAAACGACTGGCACCTTATAGCCTCGGGAGTCGCGAGTCATGAGCCGTATGGCGTGATTTTATTTCTACCCACAAGATATTTATTTTACGATTGATGGATAATACAAAAAAATAAATTTGTTCCCAGACGTCAGTTAATTAGATAGAACCAATTCAAGAACTTTCAAGAATATGTTTTTTGGGAATTATTTGTTTCTTTAATATAAAAATGACAGAACCCAACAGTCAAAGTATTTTATTTTTATTTTTTGTATTTTATTTTTCATTTTCAGTACAAAACTTCCACTTATTTGAAAATCGGAACGTTCAGCCCCGCTTTCCCCTATTGATGATTCGCCGGCCGCTGCCGCAGCACGCCCGTTTCGCTCGCTGGACTCGCCCACCGTTATAGTCGCAGTTCTAATCTAATTTAACCTAACTTAAGGGAAATATCAGTTCTATAAGATTAGTTTTAATGTGCTTTCGAGCCTAATACTCCTCGCAGCGCTCGCCATCGCACCTATAATTATACCGTAAATTAATTATGTCCGTCAAGCGTTGTATAGGAAAAAAAATTTTTGTATTTATTTATTTGCGAAACTTCCAATGCAATAGAACAAATTAGTAAAAAAAAATGTTACATAAGATATAATATACGCTATCTTTGTGAATTCACTAGGAGAAAAATGGAACAGATCGAATCGATCATAATTTCGTTCAGGGTGTGAAATAAAATGTCATTTGTTGTAATAAATACATCATATGAATCGGACCCAGTTTGCATGGCATTTTTTTTTCCTAGCGCATCTTCGATGGAAATAGTCTGGTTTGACGATGATGTGCGAGACGCGAATTTAAAATATTTGTTGGTGTATTATTGAACCGTGTTGCTGCCCACTTATAGTTATTACGGTAGTGGAGTTCCTTGTGAAACTTCGCTCAGGGAAATACTGCTGTCTTACCTATTTGGGCCATCAAGCGTAATGTTAACATTAGGGGAACGTGGGGTATTGGGAGCCCGCGGGTAATGAGAGCGGTGTTAAACTGGACTTTCCCAATGCTCGTATTTGTGCAAACGGCACTCCTATGTCTTCGTTAACGTTCGACAAGGTCCGAGTCCCGTGGGCGCCCCCGTAGAACCCCGCGTTTAGTCGTATGAGATGGTTGTGTGTTTTTCGCTCCGCGCTTATATCATTTGCCAAATTTCATCATCCCAGGTAAACATTAAAATGCATAGATACTACATTATATTTACACTAGCTATGTCACCATATCTATCAAATTTTAGAAGTTATAATTGGAATCACAATAAAAATAGAAATGTTTTTACTGTTTTATTCCTTTTTTAATTCGATATTATGCGGGTACTGAGAGCTATTTGGCTCTCCTTATCCAGTTGCAATATTCAGTGGATATTTCTTTAACACTTTCTTGTTTATTTTCATTACTTTTTAACTTATATATTTTATTACTGATTATATAGAATGGCTCCCATTTGTTTGACATACGGGATTCTTGGCGGCTCCCATTTCCCGAACTGTCGGGTAATGAGAACGAATGACATGTTTTAGTTTTTTCTTTTTTAACCAAATATTTTATTTTAGTTCCATATTTTTTCTGTGATTATCTAGTACCCAGATATGTGAAGCGTATGTTCATAATTAATAAAAATTTAAATTGCATAAATTATGACTTTTATTGTCAATTTTCCTTAGGCTCCCATTCCCCCACGCTCCCCTACTGTGAAATTATAGGTACATGGGACTTGTCAACTTATCTCAATATCAACAGTAGGCGTATCGCTTACCGTCAGGCGCGCGACTTGTTAGTCGCGTCACTCGTCACACAAAAAATGTAATCTGCAACGGAAGCGCGACTCACGCGATGACTCACGCGTGCTCGCAATTATAATTACATGCTATTACTATCGTCAACTATTTTACTTAGGGTTTACGCAAACCGGCGTACGGGAAAGCGGAAGACGTAACATTTATAAATGCATGTTTTATACTATTAACTGCCTCCGTGGCCGAACGGTTACCATGCCGGACTGCCACGCAGAGGTCCCAGGTTCGATTCCCGGGCCGGGAGAAATGTTTGTATGGCTTACATTTATTTCTCTCGTGAGTTTGGGTGTAATTTGTGGTGTCTATGTGTGTGTCCATGGTACCCGCGACACAGGGTTTCCCTAGTGCGGGGCTATGTTGAGTGTGTGCGTTATTTATTTATTTATTTATTTTAATAGAAATAAGGCATACATTTTAATCCTCTGAGGCCGACTTTGGAGCATAGCAGCGCATTTCTTTCTACGGGTGACGCCGATATGCGACTGAATCCACCGGTATGCGCTGGAACCCACCGATATGCATCGAAATCCACGGGCATGCGCTAAAATCCATCGGTATGTGCCTGAATCTGCGGTACACTCGCGAAATCGTAAGGGATATCAGTGTGCGCTGGCGGGCATAAGATCTCCTTCGATGCTCTCCCTCACCATCCGTTAGTTTGCGCTGGTTCTTAGTGTACAGATCGACTGCGACTGGTCATTCACAAACTAAGTTCCGTGCACTCGTGCTTCAGAGAACGATTTGTGCAGTAACTTCTGTGTGGAGTTAGGACTGAAGTTATATATTCTTCGCGTTTACTGGTAATTCATTATTAACCTATTTCATAGTATCATTTGAAGGATTACCAATTACATACGGCCAAACGTGTAAGTAATCTAGAGGCTCAAACATAGAGTTTACCCCCTAACCCTAGTTGTTAGCCTTTACCTAATAGGTGGTTTCGTATTTATAAATAGACTGCTTAAATATGAAATTCGCAGAAAGGGAAATTCACGAATATAATGTTTGGTGCAAACGGTATCGAGTTATGCAACATCATTGAGAAAGAGTTGGAAGGTCGGAGAAAAGAGTTGCAAGGCGGTCCTCCGATGATCAAGTATGATTTTGAAGAAGTGTTACCAATTGAAGCTGTACGTAGTCTATTTTTTTTGCTAGCTTTGACTACCATCTGTTTGCAGCAGGGTTCGAAGCGATAATTATCATGATAATTATTACTTTGAATTTCGAACTTATGAAATTACATAAATTCTTTAAAACTAAATTACTTGATAATTCCAAACCCTGGTTTACTGACACTCGATTTATTTTTTAAATTACCTTTGTTTGGGTCTCCCAATTCCATGCTCGCTACCATGGCTACACCTCATCATGACAATGAAGGGCAAGGGGTCGAAGCGATAATTATCATTGATAATTGTCGATAGTAATTATCGCTTCGAACTTATGAAATAAATAAATATCTTTGAAAATAAATGTTTTGATAGTTTCAAATCCTAGTTTACTGACACTCGATTTAAATCATCTTTGATTGGTTCCCCCTATTTTATGCTCGCTAACATGTACCCAATGCCTACCATGCCTCATCGCGACAATGAAGGGTAAAAACAAAACTTTGTACAGGAGAAGACAGAAGTCGAACGTAAACTGGATATAGAAACACAGGAGCAAAGGGAAAGATTGCGAGTGCTTACACTCGCCGCGCGAAAGAAACGAGTGTGCGAGCGAATGTCCGTGGATCTACGCCGATACAACTTTATCCTGTTCTGGCCTCATTGTCACCACGCGCATTATGACCTCTACGAGAAGTGGGATTACGTCAGTATGTTCATCTACATTTTCACTTCTCTATGTTTTCATGAGTATATCAAGTATCATTTGTGTTTAAAACTCTACTTCAGCTCTGCTCCTCACCTATCTAACTCTCCAGCGGTCGCTACGGCGAACTGTATACCCTTCAGCGACCTCTCCTCCACTCATAAGAAGTGTCGACTCAGGGAAGTCGTCAACAGCCCTGAGGACTCACTTTCCCTACTATACAGGTCAACCAGATTGCGACACAAAGATATACTTCGAATAACCGTCCTTGCCGGTGAGAACAAAGAACTGCCAGTTCAGCGTGTAAGCTAAGTAGTTATACGACCTAAAAATCTTTAGCTAGCCCTTGTGTCCGGTTGCAAAGTCAAGGCCATCAATCACCTAGGGGGGTGTGTACGACGATGCTTCCGAAGGCGTTCCTGTTAAGTGGAATTGAAGGAAGACTCAAAAGTCTCCTTTGATGCCCGACTCTTCTCTTGCGGATCGGGAGATGGGTGGTCATCTTCCTCTCTCGCTCGACAGCTCCCTTCCTCGCCTTTACACGTTCGCAGATGGTTGTCACCTTCTTCCACGGCCTGTTGCTTTCCAGCATTGATTTGATCAATGCTATCCAGTCCCTAACTTAATGTAACCTAAACCGGAAAGCCCTATTATAGTGGGACAATTAACACGAACAGTAAAAAGAAAGTACGTACAGTAGAGAAAAACAAAAGAAAAAAAATCATAAGGTCTGTTTAAAATTTCGTTCCATGGCTTTAAATGGCAGAGCATCTGGCACGGATTGTCTGAAGTTGCTGGTTCGAATGCAGCCGGATCTAATGTTTTTTTCTTAATGTTTCGACCTTTGTTGTAATAATTATACCAAACTATACTCTAGCCAAATTCGATGTAGAATGTTTAATAACAAAACGTTGCTAGACAACCAATGATGGGCATAGGAAAAGAACATTTTTTTCAATGCTCATTATTAAGGCTTGCTCTGCCCACCGCCTCTCCCTTAATTAGAATTTAAATAGGTATAGGTAATTGGGTTATGTAGAAGCAATACTCGCCTAGCCAAGTATTATCAAGTTTATAAAATATCGATTGATAAGTGATTTAGGAATAAAAATAAGTGTTTGCATCCTATTAATATTTACTGCTAGATGGTAGGTAATGGTAGATGAAAAGAAACAAAATTGTAAGATTTTATTTGACATTAATTTACCACATATTATATCATCAAGCATCTATTTCCGATTCTGAACTTGAATTACCACCAGAATAACTGCCTCCGTGGCCGAACGGTTACCATGCCGGACTGCCACGCAGAGGTCCCAGGTTCGATTCCCGGGCCGGGAGAAACATTTGTATGACCTACATTTATTTCTCTCGTGAGTTTGGGTGTAATTTGTGGTTGTCTATGTGTGTGTCCATGGCACCTGCGACACAGGGTTTCCCTAGTGCGGGGCTATGTTGAGTGTGTGCGTTATTATTATATTATTATGGAATTCGAATGATTGCAATCTCTCCCTTCAAATCAAAAAGTCACTAGGAAACTGTGTCAGTTTTACAAGTAATTAATTACTGGTCATTTTTGTGTCATTTTAGGTGATTTGAAACTTCTGTTGAATAATATTCATTATAAACAAGACTTCAAGATTTAGTATTATCCATAATCTAGTTGAATTTCGGGGAAAAATATTGAAATTGTAGTAACGGTGAAAGAGTCTAAGATGAAAATCCTAAAAATCATATGTTTTTGTTTGTTGACATTTATTCTACATCGAATTTGGCTAGAGTATAGTGATGTAATTTCAAAAATTATTGAATATTATGGTAATAACACATCGTGACATTCTACTTTTGTTTTCTAACAGATATAGTCGTGGCGGCCAAGGAGGAATTCCAACTGACCGAAGACAACTTGAAGGAAGCTTTATATATGAGCGACATCGATCCCAACGAGGCGTGTCTCTACGCATTGCAAAAGGGCCCTGCACTAGTGGTGCTGTTTAAAATGTTTGACACTGATGACAGAAATTTTGTTAGTGAGTCAAAGATTTATATACTTTTTTTACTTTAATGTTTCTCGGTGTATCCCGTATAGGATTAGCTGTAGCATGGCTCATATGGCGCGAGCCGAGGTATGATTCATGATGTTCACGATTTAATTTTATTTCCTATTTGTGACCAATAACATTTCTAGGAATTCCACAGTCATCAAGTTACCCGATGATTCATATGATTGACCTATGTTTAGTCTTTAGTAAAAGACCAGTAAAACACCAAGTTTATTTATTATTATAGTATTCCGTCGCACCGTGTTATGTTATGAGGTAAACTTACCTTGGTTCGAATCCAATCCAATCCTTGGTTCGAAGGAATTTCTCTAAGAGTGGTTATATACGGCGATGTTTAGCAGCGTCGCTACTCTTGCGATTTATAGGCGATTGCACCGGTACAATCGCAAGTGTAGCGATGCAATTGCGCGTTTGTATCGGTGCAGTTGTTAGTGTTTATGACAGGTGACCAGTCAACAGATTCCAGTTCCAGGTTGAGAACGTCAAACTCAATTGCCGTTTTTAATCGGTTTGATTGTTAGGTTTTTTCGTACATTGGAGCTATTAGGAGACCAACCATGGTAATGTCATAGTCCGTCAGGTCAGTAGTGCAAACCACAGACACTGCTTGACATTTAGTTGGAATAAATATATGGTCCAAATACGTTTTCCGATGCGTATCAGTATAATACACGGGATAATTCAGCCAGCTTAGAAAGGTACTCCGAGATGTGAGTATTTGATGCCTTGGAAAGCAAAATGTCTAGGTTGATGTCACCAGCAAAATCCAGACACGGGGTTGGTGTGGTATTTCTAACAACCGTTTCAAGAGAGGCAATAATCGCATCTTTAAAAAACTGGGTAACCTATAAGCGGTAATCATTTTAAAACAATTGGGGACTTCTATAGAAATGCAGTTGGCTTCGTCAACGTCCAGCTCCGAGAAAACTGGGGATCATTAATTATATCCTTTACGCAAGCCGTGACACCTCCTGATTTGTTTATATATTTTTTTGTGGAAGGAAGGAACGATAATGATGTGTCAACATAAGTATTAGGGTTATAATCTAGTACTTACAGAACTTAAATATATTTATCTCTTATAAATGTAATTTGTATATAATTAATAAATAAAGTGAAAAAAATAAAATTAGTACAGCTCTTCTACAAGCACCCATAGGCTACCTTTCCACCAGAGACCTGCGAGTAGCGAGTAGGTGTGCGAGAAAAAAACCACCAATAGGATTACTTCATATTCCTAGCCTCGCTTGGAGCAGCTCCGATGGAAAAGGGTTAGCTGAGCTAAGTATTTGCACATACAAAATAGCGAGAAATTTGTGCGAGAGACGCGGACGAGAAATGTGTGCATAACGGTGTAGGAAACTAGAGCTACTGAAAGTATGATACTAACTGTCACTGACATATCGCCACCGCTCACCCCACCACCCCGTACCCCACCCGCGCGTAACTGAAAAGAGTACGTAACGCATCCTCGCACAGCTTTGGTGGAAAATATCACACCATTTCACAGCGCCGCTACACATCCTCGCACCGCCTCGCTACATCTCTGGTGGAAAGACAGCCTTAAACTTAGGACTTTGCTTTCCTACCCTATCGGCTAAAATGAGCCATTAATCCCGAATAATAATCGTGTCTGTCGTTTCCAAGACGTATTGCGGTATTCGCTTTATCAAGAAATCCCGCAGCCGAAGGAAGACCTCCCTCCAGAAAAGCAGGTGCCGCCAATTCCTGCCTTCGAACGATATGCATCTATCAGCAAGAGTGCAAGGGAAGTAAGACGGGAGCGATACAACGCCAAGATGCAGAAACTGGTAAGCTTTGATTCCTTGTACTCTATATTATTACCAGCGTTCAAAGTGGCAATAACATCGAGTATATAACAAAAAAACAAATAAATAAAATTGATATAAGACCCATTGGCCTGATGAGTTGCCAGGGATGCTTATTTCGTCTCTATTTCTGATTATGTCCTCAATGGATAATAATCACGATGATTATAATGATAATTTTATCTTGATAAATATACATTGATAAGCGAAGTGACCTACATAGTAAATAAATTGTTTTGATTATTTGGTATCGGATCTTTAGGTCTCAAGTCGTTCGAGAACATATATGTCATGGGTACATTTTTGCACTGTGTATGCTTTCATGTGACGGGTACGAACAAGTAGTGTGCGGGGTAAGCGACACGCCTGGTCCCCATTTCTGCTAATTATCTCGGTTTTTTTTAAAGCATCAAGTGACGGGACGTTCCATGTGCCTGTAATTTCACCAGCACCCTTACCCTTCGAAGCCGGAACGCAGTAATGCTCACATTACTGCGTGGCGACAGAAATATATACTTGTGGTGGCAGTACTTCCTTGGACGAAACTTTTCACAAGGAGCTCAGTGCTACTGAAACTCTTGTGGTCAGTTTTTCATTACTAGGCGGCCCCCTCCCATGAGTGTCAATATTTTTTTGCGCTAAAGTTGTTTGTTACCAAAACTAACATCAGCAACTAAAATATATTTTTTGTTTTGTCATTGCAGCGTGCAGAACAAGAAGAAAGAGATCGTCTAAAAAGAGAACAAGAGAGATTGGCGCGCGAAGCCGAGGAGGACCGCATAAGAGCTGAGAAGCAGAAAAAAGATGAAGAAAGAATGGCAAGACTTGCTGCTGGGGTAAGCATCGTAATGAAACTTATCACTTATCATTATCGTATTTACGGCACGGTACAATGTTAGTTGCAAAAGTATATAAACACAGGATCATTACAGATTAATGCTAAACAATGATTGGGAACAACTTCTTGTGTCTTTGTTTATTAACTGACTGCCACGCAGAGGTCCTGGGTTCGATTCCCAGGCCGGGAGAAATATGTGTATGGCCTACATTTATTTCCCTCGTGAAACCCCGAGTTCCGAGTTCGCACTACACGCCTTTACATTATGTGCCCGCACCGGCACGGGCGGCGCGGCGTTGGCGCGAACTCGCGTGGCGCGATCCGCGAAACCACGAGCCGTTGAAAAGGCCTCTCCACACTCGCGCGCGAAATCACGGCGCGAATCACGGTGCGGATCGCGGCAAGAACTGCCACAGTTCCACACTCGCAGAAGTTCACACCTGATTCACAGTATAGTTCGCGCGCTTGACAAAGATAGACGCTGAAGTTGCTGTTGTTCAGTCGTGGCGTGTTTACCCCGATTCAGTTTTGTAGAATGTGAAATCAGTTAGTTGCGTGCCACTAAGCAACTGGGTGTAAAATAATATAAATCAGTGTAGATTGCTACACTATGTATGCTTTATATCCAGTTATGCTACAGGTTGTGATTTACCACTTTAATTGTTATCCTTTTATTTATCATAGAATTTGGGGACAAGCGTGTCTATACTCCGAGGGTTTCTATTGGCTTTTAATCTCGAGATGAAATCTTTACTTTTCGAACACTACGCTTCGATAGCGAGAAAAAAAATATTTCAATCGTTTCGCTCTACAACAAAATTACGAACCAAAATTCTGAAGTTTTCGCGGTATTTTCTTTTCCAACCAGACACAGCTACAACAAACGCAATAGCGAGGGAAATAATGTGGCGCCACCGTCTATGCGGAAAAGGCACGGAACTAAAACCGAACTTGCTACCTACTGCCTATTTGAGTTTGTTCACTAGAAGTAAATTAAAAAATGTGGTACTTTTTACTCCCTACGGATTAAAGGATACACTTTACTCCCGCTACGTAAGGCTATATTGACGTACTTTTAGAGCATGAACAGTGAAAAATCAATTTATTAACTAAACTTAACTCCCGTACATAAGTTGAATTTTTACTCGTCATTTTATTGCGAACCAGTATGTAGTCTTTTTAATCGTGAGCTTCCACGGCGATCGGCCGTAACTGTGGACTTGTTGTAAGTTCAAAATTTTCTTTTGCAGTTACCAGCAGAGCCTGAGCCAGAAGAAGTTGGAGCAGAAGGAGTCGAAGGCGAAGGATTGGAAGGCGAAGAACTGGCCCTTACGGAAGCGACGGAAACCACTGCCACCGAAGGCACGGACTTAGAAGGCCTGCCGGTAGTTGTTTTTGGATGCTCAGTTGTTTTTGTGGTTGAACTACAGGCCTACCGCTTAACTCCTGTTCGTTCCTGAGGTAGTTGCGCGGTGCGAGTGAGGTGAAGGTATACAGTGTTTTTTTTTTAATGAGACAGTATGGGGAAATACCGAAATCATACAAGATACAAGGAAAATGTCTTAGGAATCATTGTATCTTTTTTAGTAAAAACAATTTTGGTATTGTAAATTTTTTGGTCGAGCATGAGTTGTCCATAAAAATAATAAAATTGGTCACAATTTTTTTAGTGCTGATCGACTCAGTTTCATGTAAAGATCATTTAATCGTATGGGACGAAAAAAATCGGGACAGCAGAAGTTCGTCAAATTTCATACAAGCGACATATATAATATGTATAATAGCGAAAAGTAAATATATAATATGTATATCGCTATTATACATATTCCTCGCTTTAGATTTTATTATTTCCTCACATTGTTTGAGAAAAGCACTATATATGCCTCGGCAGCACCGGGCATTGCCTAACTATAATACATTGATGATGATATCTATACTCACAGTATAGTGTATACCTACCTAACTTCAGACACAGTTTAGTGTATTAAACGGATATGCTAGTCGACTGATCTGAATTATTTAGCTGGAGGACGACGAAGTACGTGAAGAGCAAATACCAGAGTTCCACTCAGACGTCGAGATCGAGGGTGAGGAGTACATCCCTCCTGGCGGCCTCTTTGTACCGGGTCTGTACTGTCCGCCGAACGAGCTCGCTAAATCCAATGGTCTCGTTTTGTTCTTCAGAAAGGTAATTATAAAAAAAGACTTGTACCGAGTTAGTATGGAGCTTGGTACTTTATTCCCAGAAAAAATTAACCAGGCTCAACTTTTTTGCTAGATATATTATATATAGCTTGAAATAAAGAGCTTAGCAGAAAAAATAAAACGAAATATTGTGACTGCATTTTGTTTATTGATTTAAAACAAAAGTGTGGTAGACATGTTTAAAATAATCATCAGCGGTGCTAAAAATGATCAAAAAATCGATAGATTGTAACATTGACATCCTGTCAATATTTTTCATGGCATTGGCCATTAGTCATTCTGGACAAATGCCAAGTTGTGTCGTAAAATTAAGCAACCAAAAAAATTTTACTGCACGTCACTATTGACAATAATGTACATCAATTAACTCCTTCAACGTAGTTATATGAATTGAAACAAACAAAACTTGATGAACGGACAAACGTCAAAACGGCCATCGTAGCGTGCCGGTACTATAACATTTAAAAAGACAAGGAAAGAAAATAGATTCGGAGTATAAGATATATCAAAAGAAACTACGGAAGCCTTAAATACAGTCAATGGAAGCAGAACGGTGCCACGGGTTTGCGACCTGACAAAATTCAAAGGAAAATATTTCTTATGGTATGGTCAATAGCCATGAAGTTAAGCCATAAAAAAACTGAGTTAATACATAACCATACCTTGCACTAACTAACGCAGGCCAGGCACAAATGATTTTTTTTGTGACACATGCCTACATACCTCTGATATCGGGAACTTTTTATAGTTTTATCGCGTGGCATATTTGGAGAATTGTTTTTTGTAATAAAGTAGATAAACCTTTATTACAAATTGGTCCAATCAGTACATTTGGTATTTATTACGTGAACTAACTTAATATGGACAAATTAAGTAGGTTTTAAAAACCTCTTTTTGGCGGTAGATGTCGCTCAACGTTAAGGATCTAAGGAACATACTAATTAGTGATTTGAGTTTCATTTAAATTATGATTATAATCCATCTAGACTTACAGAAGACTTTGGTATAATTTGAAAAATCTAAAGAATTTCTTTTATGATTTTTTTCTGAGTGTTCGATCTTTGTATTAATAATTATAACAAACTAGTGGAGTAATTTCACAAAAAATAATTGAATATCAATTCAATAAAAAATTAATTAATACAGTGAATAGCGACATCTCTCGCCAGGACTGGTAGCTGTAAAGGTACTAACTCGGTGATAAATCTGTTAAAGATTTCTCATAGATGGCGCTACGACTAAAAAGTCGTTGAAAGACCAAGTACAAAGACACGACGCATGCACATAGAAAAATTCGTGAGGTCCGTTGGTTCGTTCCGTGGCTTAGTTGGTATAGCGTCTGGCACGGTATGCAAGAAGACGTCGGTTCGAATCCGACCGGATCGAAGGAATTTTTTCTGAGTGTTTTTTCTGAGTGTTCGATCTTTGTATTAATAATAATTTCTTTTATTCTAACTTGTATAAATAGGCCGTTTGAAAATGCAAAATAATTATTTTCACAATAATTTCGCTATTGTTCTTTTCTGCCTTCTATCTGGAAAAAAATGTAAATATATTTTTCACATCAGTAGCTCGGAAAGGTTGTCTTTCTCATTGGAAATCTGCGCGCAAAAGCGTTTTTTGCTAGTTCGAATTTCGAACTTGACGATTGACTGTGGTGCACCTAACTTTTTCTTTTGATGAAAAGACAAAATAATGGCACGTTCAATTAAGCGATTTGTCGTACATTACTTATTTATGTAACATAAACATAATGTTGGTATATTTTATACTTATTATTGTTGACATTAATTAATTAGTGAGGTGAAAAGTTGTGTGTTTCGATCGGCAGCAAACATCGAGTATATAACCAGAAATAGAGACGAAATAAGGACCATTATTCATGGTAACACATTAACGATACAGCTCTTATAAATATCAACTCCTGTTTGCACTGAAATATAGACAGGCCAAATACTGACCTGTGCGTACGTCTCCGTATATTCCAAAAAATATTCTGTACTTATTGTAATAAAGATAATATCTCTAACAATGCCGTGCTGTGCTATTCGGTGGTGTGGGAAAAACAGCAAAACATCTAATTACAAAACAAACGGAATCACATTTCATCGGTAATTAAATATTAAATATGTAATTTTGCAGTTTTCGTCCATTATAGCAAAGCTCAAGTTAACTGGTCGACTTGAAGTGAAACAGTGGACGATATCCTTTGACGACACCCGTCAATTGTTTCGAACTCGGGCTGGCAATCGGAGCGCAATTGTCACAGTAATGATATGGCAGAATAATTTTCAAACAAATTAAATGACATTTCGTCTCTATTTCTGGTTATATACTCGATGGCAGCAACGTTACGCTACTCTAATCTTGGCTTCCTTTGCTTGCTCAGGTTTCAATACAAGCACTGACGGCAAAAAACAACTTTGCAGCCTTGCATAACAAAATAACTATTTCAGTATAAGACTACCTTAGAATAATAACGCATAGAAACCTAGTCTGCACACGCTTAAGTGAGGCAAATTGAAACGCGCCAAAAGGGCATGCACGAGCGGGCGGGCCTTCAGTGCTCAAGGTCAACTTGCACCGCGAACAGATCAAGAATTTTAGCTAAAAATGACGAAATGTGCGGTAAATGAGTGCAAAAATACGTCAGACAAACATAAAATAGATACTAACATCACATTCCACAAGGAAGTAACGCTTTTCAACTTGTATTTTTATATAAATATTCACTAAAACCGAAAATTAACCTACTACTAAAACTAGCCTACATGAATTTGATTTTTGCCTCACTTCACTTGTGACAGTTCGTTTGGTATGAAACTATCATTCTATGCGTTATTATTCTAAGAAGACTACTACCTAAACTATTTTTTTCTCCGAATCAGTCAACTTTTCAAGAAAGTTGTTTTTACTATAGGTATCTTATTTTGCATTACATTTCATTTTACATTTGGCTTTATTATACCAAGTGTCATTGTACCTATTCTTGTACCGCACAGACAATACAAACCGTCACCACAATAGAATCAGAGGTATTGCCGCCACACGTTTTAGTGATGTTCCATGTCGACAAACGGCATGAAGTGATGGACGTTGTCGAGCAAGTGAAGGACGAAATTATGAATGTAAGTTGTTTGTATCAAAGTAAATAATAAATATCGAGTTCTTAGGTTTTCGCGATTGTTATACATAGGAAATGAAACTATTTTTCCGGATTTAAATCGCGTATATTTGTTTTTTCAAAGAAACCGACGTTTCGGGCCCTTTACAAGTCCCATGGTCACGGTTGACTCAGGTGGTACAGTCTTCAACCAGTTATGTCTAATATTGATGCAAACCACCCTATTTTTTCACTATAGTTACAATAGTTATTAATTAAATACCTTATTTTTAATTTTACAAAGAAAACATTCCATTTTAAGCTATATTAAGTTTTACAAATTATTTTATTGAATGAATTTTTATTAAGTTCAATTTATTATTAATTATTAATAGAAATTAGAATAAACTAAAACATATTAATTAGTACTGCAGTCTTATGTCTGTTTGGGATTTTTCATTAGAGGAAATACTGGATCCCAAACTGGTGGTACGGAGAAACCATCTTCCCTGTTGAAATTAGGATGTTTTTTAATTTCAATGGCCTCTCGTAGCATCCTGGGTAAATAACGGACTTCTTTTGCAAGGACCTGGGGTTTGTCAAACTTCATTGAAAAGTTAAGAAAATTGAAAATTAGTAAAAAAAATTGTTTTGTTTTGTCGATGTTTGGAAATGTAAAAATTAAACACTACATTAAGTATAAGTTAAAAATGTTAAATATGCATTTATAGCTATGGAAGAGCGGTGCCTCCTGACACAGGCTTGATAAGCTTAATAGGAGGTACCATCCACTGTTCATGTAAAGTTCATTGTATTACTGAAATAAACATGTATTATTATTTATTATTATTATTATTATTACTACAACTATTATGGACAGGCGTGTCGCTTAACATCAGGCCCAAAACTTGTTCACCCCGTCATAATCATAAAAAAAAAAACGTTTTACTTCGAACACATACAACACTGTACCATACGGTTCCCTAACGAATGTAGATACTTGTGCAGAGCAACGGCAGGGAACTCGGGCCATATCCTGTAAACACGCTTAAATGCTTTTACACTATCCCATTTCAGGGGCCCTAAGAGCGTTTGCACACGGCGACTTAAATTAGCGACGCAAATGCGATGCGGCCGTCGCCCGCGCACACTGCGAATGATTCGCCGGGCGAAGACGCGTTTCTTCAAGTTTTTTACCTCATTAATAAGATCAACGAATAATTCGTAACGATTTCTTTCCTGATGCACCCAGCACCTTTTAGGCCTTCTTCTTTTAATTCTCCGATGAAGTAAGTGTAAGAGCTGTTACCCACAGCGACTTTAGCAGCCATGCAAACGCGATGCAGTCGCTAATCGTCTACATTTACACACACGCGCGAATTTATGCCGAGATGCAAACGCGCGACTGCATCGATACAAACGCGCTATTGCGTTGATGCAATCGCCTTTAACCACTGTAACCATTGACCTACCAACAAATGGACATCGGGTCTAATACAAAAACCACTAAAAAATGTCCGAAGTTAACCTATAGAAACATAGTGACATGTAACGAAATATAAAAACTACAACCTTTAATTTAAATTGTAACGTAATTGCAGTACTGCCAAATTTTGCATGCAACAATTTAAGGGCCCAAAAACACCATATTCAGCTTATACTGGAAACTTAACAAAATGCACCATATTTAACTTCGACTGAAAAATACTTTTTCATAAAAGTAATGGAGTAGCCTTTCTCGTAAATATCAATTAATTTTTATATATATTATGTCGAATTTTGTACAACTTCACTTAAAGATATAATAAAGAGTTGGCCAGATACATACATACAAATATTGCTACAAATGTGAAAATAACTATAAGAAATGTACCACTAACTAACTACTACTAAACGTAAACTCAAATATCCGTAATTCAAAAAAATCGATTTACAATAAAACCGTTATGCTTTCAAGTAATTTTCATGTAACAAACCAAAAGCTAATTTTGGCTAAATTTGGGTAATATTCCTAAAAAGTTATATTTGACATTATGAAAATTCGAGCTAACGTTATTTCGGGCAAATGTATTTTCTGACTTCTGATACGTAATCCCAAGCAGTAAAACGAGTACAACAATATTTTGTTAGTTATTGCTAACGTTCAATAAAAAGTCATTTAAAAAATAAGATTAAAATTAATATGACTCTATTAGTTTCTGTGTTCCAAATATTGCAATCGCTTATAGTTCAAACAATTGAAAATGACCAAGAAGTTTATATAAGCTTCTTGAAATTGAGGTAATGGGTCTCTTTCCATCTTTTGCGCATGCAATTTGTAGAAAAAGGACAGTTAGCTATATGATTGTTTTGTTTGCTTTCGTAATTTATATTTACGATTGATTTATATGTAAATTAAATACTATGCAACTGTACAAAATAACTCTTTTCAATGAAATCTTTTCTATGAAAACACAATATATTTGTTTAGTGAAAATATGATACAAAATCCTGTTTTACACTTTACTGAAGTAATTTTACAAGTTATTATTATATAGTACTGCATGATTGACAACCGCGCTGTCAGTCGAACAAATGAAGACTGTTGCGCGATTGACGCTCTGTATGCGATTTTAACGCCCTATGGGTGCGGACATTTTTTAGCGCGAACCCGACGTCCATTTGTTAGTAAGTCAATGACTCTAACGCGTAAATGTAAATAAGCTATCATATCCGGTGTGTGCTGTAACTTTTCTGACGATCTCGATCGATCGAAAATAACCGCGTGGCTTGGCAAACATCTCCCGCCAAATTTGCGGTCCGTTTGCGGTCCGTCACCGCCTGGCCAATCATCCGCAGTGTGCGCGGGCGACGACCGCCAAGCGCGCGGTTGTCCGCGATTATTTTTATTTCTGTTTTATCAAGAATATGTTTAGAGATAGACTGTCTTTTTATAAAAAAACCAAAAACCGTCGTAGTAAATATTCGTTTCATTCGAATGTTCAATTATGAGATTTTATATTATTTGAATGATTCGAATATCAAAACTGGTCGAATATTGCAAGCCCTAGTCTCGGTGGAACTACCGACACCCTCAGAGTGCGTGTATACGCCAAGAAAAGTCGATGGGTCTATGCAGAATTGCTATTGCGTTAGGGCGCATTGTCGGTAAACGAACGTTTATGCGCGTGGACTGATTTTGCAAAGTACCACTGCCACTGTTGCACCACTAATTTCATTGCGAAGTTTAGTAGAGGAACGACCCGTATTGTGGGACAAAACCTTAGAGATTTATAAAGATAAACGACGTACTTGGAGAGAAATATTTATTATTCTATACATATAATTTGCAATCACCATTTTTTTTATTAGTAGTCAACATATTTCTTCACACAGTCGATAGTAAAACGACAGCTATCTGGAAGTGCACTGACACGTTTACCCTACACACGTCTGCCCGAAAGCATTCGTATCGTGTACATACTCACCATTTTCTTGTCTGCAACAGACACGAAATATTTTCGTGGCTAGATCCGACAAAATTCTTGTCGTGTACAAGGCCATTCTCGTCTTTTCTGGTACAGACATGACGAATTTCTTAGCGTGTACACGCGCTGTCAGTGAAAATATTGTGAATACTTAAGTTTTTTTGTTTAGCTAAAAAAGTACACTTTTACAGATGGGGTTATTCCAAGGCGACGATCCGTTTAATGTGGAACATGTAGCGTTCACTGTGAAGCAGTACGACAAGATGGTCCGATTGCGAAAACAGTAAGTGTTTACCAGTGTTAATACGTAATGAACTAACGGCGCGCATCTTTACACACACGACAGTTAGTCTAAACAACGAAATACTATAAGGTTCGAAACACACTTCTTCTCCTCTCAGCTTGGTTACGATGAGTCTCAAGAGACACAATAAAATAGAGTTTATTTTTTTCTTTTTATGTTGATTCGATTCCCGGCCAGGACCCCGATTCAGAACTCTTTCCGAGTTAAACGATCGATTCGGATACGACATCGTTTTCCAACACCGTTTACGGAGTTAGTTCGTGAAATAGATTATAATAAAAATGAAAATCCTTTTATACACATTTTCGAGACTTTAAAGGCCTAAAATATAGCAATGCATAGTCTTAGTCTTGCATTAAAATAAATTAATAAAATTGAACAAAATCCAGACTTTATTTAAAATAAAAAGTAATTTCCATATACTATAACTGTATTCTGAATAACGTTTGTAACCATTTCCGGTCGAGAAGTTCGAGTCATCGTACGGATGTGACGTCATTTCGGTTCGGTTTCGAATACGACAGTTTGACATTCGATTCGTGAATAAAAATCAGCAGCCCAATTCAGAACTCTTCGGTATTTTAACCGAATCTTTCGATTGGATATCGTCCTCGAATCGAAGGACGTTTTCCGAGCTATTCAGAACATACGTGTTAAACGTTAAATTCGGATACGATATCGTTATTAACAAGTTCCCTGTGCCTGTAAATTCACACACCTCCTTTCACGCACCCTTACCCTTCCAAACCGGAACGCAATAATGCTAACATTTCTGTTTAGCGGTAGAAATAGGTAAAATAAGCTAAGTATAATATATGTATAAATAGTTTCATTTCCTACGTGTAGCAATCGCTAAAACCTAAAAACTCGATAGGTACTATTCACTTTTTAATCTGTCGTACCTGGCAGCTTAGATCGCTTCGCATTGCAAGTATCCCGTAAAAGAAGTTTTGCTTTGCTGCAACTGGCGGGGCTGAACCCTTGCTACATTAGCAGTGACGTGGAGGCCGGAGAGCGCGACTGCCTTGCGCTATTCCCAGTAGGCTATGGCGACCAGTATATAGAAGAAGAAAGCATTAAGGAAGAGGCCCCGGTATACTTATTTATAATATTGTAATATAAAAATAAACTTACGGGCAAATACACCAAGCTGTTTTTATTTACTTTGGAAGTGGATTACTGCCACTGCCAGAGTATTACGATTTAGAATATTTAAAAAGCTTGGTTTATTTGCTTCCAAGTTTGGGAATAGAGATAGCGACTGAGTTTGCCAGCATTGTAGCATATCAAAATCCGTACACTCAAAACGGACTCCCTTTGACCTGACTCCGACTTTTCGTGGTATATCCATCTACCTGGAATGGACCCGTCGTCCAATTCAAAATTCAGCAGATGCGTAGAATCCATGACCAAAAAAGCAGCAGGGATTCTTTTAAAGGTGAGGCGTTACTCCACACAGAGACAGTTGCTTCAGGCGTACGTAGGTACCAAGCACAAATTCGCGGTCGTGTCTAAATACAAACTGGCCTTGGATTCAGTTGAAAGGCGTGTTAAGAAGATTATAGTTGATTCGGATTTCATAGAGACGAAGCTGTAGAGCCTTGAACACCGCCGTAAAATTATCTGCTTATCGGTATTCTAAAATTATCTGCTTATCGGTATTCTACAGGATATATTACGAAAAGTGTGCGATGGAAATACACGATTTAATTCCGCCTTCCCTTATCCATGATCGAGGGTCTAAATCTAGGGTTCTACTCCTATGTTGTGGATATGCCAAATATTCGTACAAAGCGTTTAGCTTCCACATTTATATGGCGAACGGCTTCCCTGAACGCTATAACTTGGGCCTTTTCAGGGCGAGAGTGAATTTAGGTGTGCGTGCTCCATCGTCTGCCTCATTGTCACTTTACAGAAGGTGAGATGGAGGTCAAACACGCCCGTGTTCTTTTACCCAAAAAAAAAACCACTTCATGGTGAATCGGTGATGGTATAAGTTAGAACCAATTTGTATTGTCTAAATGGAGTCGTTAAATCTTTGTTACAGCCCGAAGAACAAATTCAAGTCGTGGAAGCAGTAAGTTTCACATTTCTGTAAAATGTTATAAAAGGCATGTGTAGGGGCCAATACTACGCTATAGTATTGACGCCTAATTGTTTAAATTGATAGATGATAAAAGTATAAAGTTTATTAATAAAGTAAGAAGATACAAGACTCGTTGAGGATGTGTATCTCTTACGTTGTTGTTACGTTAAGACATATGAATGTTCGTTAAACACTCAAGATGTCTAGATGAAGTGAATGCTCGTTTAACACTAAAATTACTTGCCTACTTATGTGCCCATGTAATGTATGTAAGCCACGGACAGTAGGCCACAAAGTAGAGCGCAAGGTAAGCGGAAGAAAAATGTGCGGTTGTAAACCGTACAGCATGTAATGCCTAACTTTGGTCTCATTTTGAGATTTACATTGACGTATGGGATTGAAGCGAATGTTTGTAACGATTATTATATTTCCAGTCTAGACAAATTACAGGCCTACTACGCTACTTACGCTTTATAGAGTCGGTTCCTGAGGTAGATGCGCGGTGTGGGGGGAGTGACAGTTTACGTAACAGTGATGTCGCACTGCAAGATATTTCTGACGATATTTATAATTGATTATCACTAATATCAGGTTCCTTACCACGGTATGACTTCTTTTTATTTTCCCGATATTTCGGAACGGTCGCACGCTCCATGGTCACGGGTTTACTGGACGGCGGCGGATGACAGCTTTAAGAGCAGACATATCTGTCTACCCTCCTGCGCTGTCGATGACTACCTTCATCGCGATTTGTTGTGGCGTTACCATTGTCACTCACTTTTTTCACACAAACCACACTCACTCTATCCACACGCGAAATTGAACTCGAGGTGTTTTTGTTTTTATTACTGCACGCACTAAGGACCGGATTCCATGCACTGGACAGTTTAAAACCATCATCACGGTGAAATGTTTTGTACTTCGTGATCTCGATAGCTTCTCGTACCAACCGTGGTATGTAGTGACGTTCTGTCGAGAGTACCTGGGGGCTATGCAACTCGATCCAGTGGTTAGTGTCAGTCTGTGTGAGATGTTGTGCTATAGCCGACTTCTGTGCATCATTGTTTTTACTGCTCGGATCCTTCCTACGATCGACAATTATTCGTTTAGTCTGACCGATATACGAGCTCCCACAATTGCAGTTCACTTTATAGACACCCGGTGTTATAAAGTGAACCACGAAAGTCTTAAAATCGATATTTATAATAGCTGATTCAAAAAAGTGCCTACCAAATCTGTCAAGTTTTGATAAGTGAAACGATAATAAAAATACTTTTTAATTGATAATTGAAATGAATAGGTAAGCTATTTGGAAAAACTGCCACTTCTCATTCAACTTGTTATTAAACATCGTCAGAAAAATCTTATAGAAATTAACCAGTGTGCAGCGCGACATAACGGTTATTCCTCCCACACCGCATACCTTACCTCTGGAGCCGACTCAGTTAAGCGGCAGGCCCGTAGTATGGAGTTCTACCGAGTATGCTACTTGGGATATATGTATATACAACTCAACCAGTTTGAGCATCAACCTGACCAACGGAAACACTGCTCATTGCTACGCATTACGTCGAAAATGTTTAAATAAACAAGGGCGAATGCAACTACAGCGGCGCCGGCGGTACCGCTTTTGTTACAGAGCGCCGTGTGTAATCAGCCTTATAATAATATAGGTAATAAGGCCTTCTGAAACATTTAATAAAAGTACTATTTATATTCAGGCTCCCGCAGTCGAAGAAGCAGAAGAGAAGGCAGAAGAAGAGGAAGAGGACGAAGGATAATAAAATAAACATGTACTTTGCAAATGCTTTGAGATCCTAGAAATGTCAATTATGTCTACCAGTTTTAAAGAATTTCTTTGTCCAATTGTTATCTTCTACTAGAAACTTGTCTTCTGGAAGATTTAGATAATAATAATACAGATGAAGTAGGCTCTTATTACACACCCTCCACATAGATACACACCATACTGCATTTACTTGATTTCGGTCCGTAAGTGTGGTTAAAACCTGCCAACGGGCTAAGAAAAAGAAGAAAAACAGATAATAATAATAATAACGCACACACTCATAGCCCCGGACTAGGGAAACCCTGTATCGAGGGTACCGTGGACACACACATAGACAACCACAAATTACACTCAAACTCACGAGGAAAATGAATGTAGGTCATATAAATATTTTTCTTGGCCCGGGAATCGAACCCGGGACCTCTGCGTGGCAGACCAGCATAATAACTGTTCGGTTACGGAGTGTTCGACCTATTTAGTGAAGTGCAGGTGTAGTGTAAGACAGGCGGGAGTTACACTGGGACTTGTTTATAATCTACTATGGAAATATGGCAAATTTTATTTCTCATACATTGACTTACAAATAAATGGACGACGGGTCTAATACAAAAACCACGAAAAAAATGTCCCAAGTCAACCTATTCGAAATTTAAATTATTATGTCATCGCAGTATCGCGCTGTCCGTAGAACAAATGAAGACTAAAGCGGAGTGTCGCGCTCTGTATACGATTTTAGCGCCTTACAAGTGCGGACACTTTTTAGCGCGGACCCGACGTCCATATAATTGTAAGTCAATGTTCTCATACACAGAACTAACTCAAATTCTCATTGGTTCTGTGAAGGAAACTGTCTATTTATTAGCTGAACAAATGGGAAGAAAAGTACCAGTAGTTCTGTCAACAGAACTGTACAACAGAACTAATGGGAAACATAATAGTTTTCATTAACGACAATTATCTAGCTTCTATTTGTGTTGTGGTCATAGCAATGATCTTATGTAGTAATAAATTCAGTTATTATTTTGAGAGCATTAATTTATTTACCTACATTTACTTAAAAGTATAAAACACTTTTTAACAGAATTCTTACTCTTTTGTTGAAAGGACTAGGTTAGTACATACAAAATGCAACAAATTAATTAAAAAGAAATATTTCAAAAACTAGAGTTAATAAGTGGGAAGGTACCAAGTAACCTTAGAGGATGGAAAAAAAATTAAAGGGGCTGCCCTAACTACGGAATGAACGTGCATACCTAAACAAAATAATTTCTTTAGTGTCGTACCATAATCTATCGATAAGTCATTATCGATAGTCATAGTCATCGACATGCAAACATTTAATTAAAGTGGATCAATATTCCATTTGGGAATATTTTGGGTTATTTGGGAATATCCGGGAACGTCACATGAAATCTTGAATTTACTGTTTTGCGTTTGCAAATACTCAAATATTACAAAAACAGAAAAAAAAATTATATTTTGTAATTCGAGAGTATATAAAAAAAAAGAAAACTTTAAAATATAAATCTTATATATTTCCAACCTCAAGATACATATTTTCATAGAGAAATTTTTAAACAGATTCCAAAAACTGTAAGCTTTTCTGTATTTATGCATTGTTATAGAATTAATATCAGGACTTATTTAAGCAAACCTTTAATACTTCCATTTAATTTTGGAAATAAATGAAAGTAGTAATATTATCAATAATAATATTATTATCATACGTTTATTTGCTTAAAACATGGTATAACTGGCTATGTAATAAGAGACAGTGGTAGTATAAACATGTTTCGCATATATTAAATAGCATGCAAATGTGTGATTATACAATGTCAATTGACTACTACTGGCCGAGCGCCTTTGATTTGTGCAGAAAAATCGACACTTCTCCGAAGTGAGACAAGCAGTCACGAGCGACTGTGAGTTGTGACAAGCCACGTGAAACGAGCTCTATACACGTTAGCGCTCGCCGTCACTTGGTCAGCTAGGCGAGTGACACCGAACGATGGCAAGGCAAGGTAAGGCAAATAGGCTGTCTATACGTTGGTATTGGCCTTCACCCGGCAACGTTAGACCATGTTGTTCTAACGGTCTTTGTACTGCTGACTTTATAAAATTAAAATTTTTGGTAGTTAGATTTGTCAGTGGGATAAAATCAGAAACGAGTGGATAATTTTGTTTTCAGGAACTGAGAATCCTTAGTAAATGAGTCTTGTTTAATCTAAATTAAATATAAAATTATTGACCAATAAACCTAATGATGGAATTGCATTATCGTGTAATCTAGTTACATTCAAAGTTATGTTAACATTTGACTCTTCAAAATGAAGCGAATAAATGAAGATGATTTTTGATTCAATGTTTATATTTGTCACTATTATACAGCGGTATGATTTCCATTCTTTTTTCTTTTTTGATTTGTAGGTAAACTTGAAATAATAATAATCAAATAATAAAAACCTCGTAGTTAATTATTTTAATAACAGAATATCGATAATATGTACTCTTCCGAGAACAACACTATCTCAAAATAATGTTTCTAGAACTATATGAAACCGAAGAGCTCATTTGGAACCCAAAGCATCCAAACCACAAAATTAAACACAAACTTAATGTAAATGCGGTATTATCCCTTACAGCACAGAATTATACGATTAATATTCGCTGTTAAAGCAGTGCGGCCGTGTTCTAGGGTTACACACCTGTGCCGAGAGCGGCAAGTGTTAGTGTGTACGTAACGGACGGGAGGTCGAAAAGCAAGATTTTTTTTAAATATCATCATTTCGTGTTTTCTGACCTAATGGTGTATTTACTTATTAAGTATATGTTATATTTTACATAACAAATAATTAAACAGTGAATTTTTAGAAATTTTGGTTTTTATTCAGTCATAAAGTCATAAAACACGATCGTGCTTGTGAGGATGGAAATGACTAGATTAGTTTTATTTTTACTTAATTTTTTTATGCGATTTGGGTTGCACAAATCACCAGAAACGTTGACAAATCAGAGTTAGGTGAATCTGACCTTGAATATTGAGAATAGGAGATAGAAAGTGATAGTGACTCTTCATTGTCACGTTCTAGTTCCTCTATAAGCTCAGAAGACGTCGTACCTAAACCTGGATTTAATGCTCTCATATCGTCTCCATCTAGTCGTCGTGCAAGTCATCGCAGTTATGGTAGGAGGTCAACTATTCGCAGCCGTATATCTAATAAAGTCTTATCTCTATCCAGAAAGTCGATCAGCGGAAACTCTCACCAGCCCAGACCAGCCCCATATTTTTCTACGTTATTTTTGATTATTGTGACCCTCCCTACCGACACTGGGGTATACGAGAAGGGCACTATAACCTGTGGAATGGAAAGGAACCTCATAAGTTCAGGTTCTGACCCCAGGTCAGCCTGCACAGGGAGGGACCGGAGGACATCTACCTTATCCTCTACGAGCTAACCACAAACCCCAGCGAGTCCGTACCCAAGTCCGGGTTCACCAATTCCGTCAACGCAAAGGCGTATCACTGGCGTAGGAACCAGTCCAGATCAGTTGTTTTTCAGAGGGTTCCGAATTCTTCACAGTCACTTCTATCATCCAGTCTTGGTCGATCTTCAACAGTACCCGTTCAAGTACCCGTGATGCTCACCAAAGTCGATCATCATCTATTTGAAGCCATACTTCTGTTTTGGAACGGTCACGATCAGAAAAGCGAAGTCGTTCGGCTGACGCACCGTCACCACATAGATCAAGGAAGTGGAGGCAAATGTCATATTATGATTGTAGGGATCAATTGTGGTACCCATCTCGCCCTACGACTGGAACTTGCCGCACACCCTTTGATTATTTTCTTGAGTATTTTGACGACGGATCGACCAAAAAGTCACTCAGCTACCAATAATATTTGCAAACATAGAGTGCTGCTTCTAGCAGATGAAACAGGACGAGGCTTGAGAAATATATTGCAGAAACGTCTGGGACAGGAGTGTCACGTTACTTCATCACTGAAACCATATGCATCACTTGAACATGTTCTGTCAAATAGTTGCGTACAATGCCAAGACTTCACAAAGTCTGATTATGTAGTAATATTAGCAGGTTCACACGACAATCTTTTAGTTCATTATATTACTATCTCATTGTACTTACTAATACTAATATATTGTTTGGTCAAATTGGAAGTGGCACTGGTCTGAGAGGCCACACGTTTGACAAGTTTAAGCTCCCTAGATCCTTTTTTTGACAACTTGCAGTACTCGCAATTATTCTATTTTAATAAACGTAAGCTGGATAAAAATAATACTTGTAGGTCTTTGGTGCTGGACATTCTCAAAGTTGGTTACAGGAATTCGATATTAAATAATACAACTAAAACAGTGTACGTGTCCGACGACAACAGAAATTTAGATCGTTTTTTTCGTAGCTGCTGATGGTGGTAGTCAACATTTAGTAAATGGCAGTGAATGTTTATACTCACGTGAACACTCGCGGAAACCCTCTAATGGTGCTAGTTCAAATGACATTAATCTGTGTACTATTACTACTATCTACCATCAGAATGTATGCGGTATAGGCACTAAGAAAGAAGAATTAGATATGTATTTGAATAACATGGATGCAAGTAAACCAAAGTATGTATGTATAACTGAACACTTCCTAAATCCTAAAAACGTAGCTTTACTAAACCTTACCAACTACAAATTGATCACTTATAATGTCAGAACGAATATGATAAGGGGAGGGAGTTTAATATTACGTCTCAATAACTGTAACTATGAGGAATTATCAATTTGTACCGTGCTATATAAACAGGAATATTTCGAGATTTGCGGTATTCAAGATAAATATACTAACCTTAACATATGTTGCTTGTATTACAACGGCAAAATTTTATTTTTTAATGACTTCATGATGCAACTAGAAAAATTGTTGACTTATTTATTCAATAACAAATGTATCATAGGCGGGGATTTCAACGTGGACTTATTAAAAGACGATAAAAATAAAGTGCAATTCTTAAGCTTGTTGAAATGTTATAACTTTAGAGCTCTAATTAATTCAGGAGCATATATTTGCGGAGACGCGCGTTCATGCCTTGATAATTTTTTGACTATATAATATATCGCCGGAAATTGTGGATACTATTACAGTGGATCACAATGGTTTTTCTGATGGTCACGCAGGGTTATTTTGTTCTCTATCCCTTCCAAATAAAGTCAGAGTCAACTACAAGGAAAGATATATTAAAGTAATGCATAGAATATTTAATACAAAAAATAACGACAGGTTTAGAGAAAATATATTAAAATTTGAATGGAATAACTTTGGTACAAATAGTTTTCTGAAAAACTTCAACGAGTGTTTTACAATAAGTTTCAAAAAGATTCACCGAAAGTATAAAGTCAATTCGGTTAACATAATTAAATGGCTTACAAGGGATATACGTACGTCGAGTAAAATGAAACGTTTTTTAATGCCAGTGAATAAGCTAACTCATGATATTAGTCTAGTCAAATACAGAAACAATTACATACGTGTATTTAGGAAAATAATAAGAAACGCTAAAAGATTAGCAGTACAATCTGAGTTGCGTAAGTCGAAAAATCGTACTAAATCGATCTGGGGGATAGTTAATAAGCACAGAAATAAAGTGGCTACGCAAAATAAAGAGAAAATAGTATTACAAGTAGGTGATAAAACTGTTGTAAACGAAAAGGAAATTGTTGAAATTTTTTCGGATCAATTTAATTTTGAGAGTGCTTCTAGTTCGTCTATGGTTGGACAGGTTAATTCGTTGAGTGCCAGTAATATAGAAGTTATTAACAAAGACATGAGTTGGACCATTGACTTACAATTATATGGACGTCGGGTCCGCGCTAAAAAGTGTCCGCACTTGTAAGGCGCTAAAATCGTATACAGAGCGCCAAACTCCGCTTTAGTCTTCATTTGTTCAACTGACAGCGCGATACTGCGATGACATTACAATTTAAATTTCGAATAGGTTGACTTGGGACATTTTTTTCGTGGTTTTTGTATTAGACCCGTGTCCATTTATTTGTAAGTCAATGAGTTGGACTCCAATTACTCCGTTTGAGATACGAAAGATTCTCAGGAAGATGGAGAGAAAAAAATCATCTGGTTATGATGAAATGCCCATTACAGTAATTCAAGATAATGTGGACATCCTGGCAGAACCACTGTCTATGTTCTACAATGAATGCTATAATCAGGGAGTTTTCCCAGAACAACTGAAAATAGCAAAAATTATTCCTATGTATAAAAAAGGCAAACGAACAGATCCAATGAACTACAGACCTATATCTTTGTTACCAGTTTTAGCGGAGATCCTTGAAAATCTCATGAAGGTTCGTTTACTGAATCATCTTGAAAGGAATAATATTTTAAACGTAAGACAATTCGGTTATCAAAGAAATAGAGGTACGAAGGACGCAGTGCACACACTTATTGATGACATTATAGTATCCCTAAATGAGAAAAAGAAATTTTCTGGTCTTTTTCTTGATGTGAGTTCCGCTTTCGATACAATAGATCACGTAGCTCTGGCGAAAAAAATAGAACTATATGGTGTACGGGGTAAAACATTGCAACTGTTTCAGTCTTATCTTAATAACAGATACCAGTTTGTGGAGGTCAATAGTGTTGAGTCTGAGGAGTTAGTGCAGTGCAAATCAAGGGCAATTAAAATTAAAAGAGGCGTACCACAGGGCTCTATTTTGGGTCCAAATCTATTTATTATTTTTACCAATGACCTTTGTATTGATGAATTTGTTGTGACATTAAATTAAATTGTATTTAACGAGGATAAGGATTCATAATTTGACATTATTATTGATTATTATTATTTGACATTATTGTATTATTGTTATTATTTTGCATTTAATTTGTAGTGAACCATGCCGATGACATTTAATTTGACATCGTTATTGTTATTGTATTATTATAATATTTTGCACTAATAACTAGTTAATATATTAATTTATTTTCGTTTTGTTATTTGGATATGATGTTAGATTTTAATTGTAATTGAATTTTCTTTTTTTCAACACAAAGAATATTGTTAAGGAATAAATGAATAAAAAAAAATAAAAAAAAGATCTCGATTAGTTAGTATTTTGCGTTAGTTAATAATGTGTTCATATTTTATTATATTTCATGTGCAACATGTCATAAACTTCAAGTTTCATTAATATAGTTGATTTTGTTGCTTTATAAGTCGCGTCATAAAAAAAGCTAATGCTTTGAAAAAAAAAGCTAATGCTTTGGTAAGGTTCATGACGGGATGCCATGATCCTGGGGGGGTAGGGGGTTTAAAAGTGTTTTGTGGGAGATTTTTCTCGTGCTGAAAGGGTTATGTATTACGCGAGAAGATCAAAAGTTACGGAAATTGTAATAAATGTAATCATCTGGCAACACTACACAATATTCATTCCACAAACTAGTCTACTAAAAGGAATCTAGACTCACGGAAGCAGATAACTGCCGTCATTTTCTTATTGTTAAAATTCTGGAAAAAGGATTAAGATATAAAAAACAATTGGTAAGGAAGCGTAGAAGAAGAAATACCTATTGAGCTATGTATTATTTATTTAAAAAGCATTGGCTTCAGAGCCATCAGCTTAATGGTAACAAATAATCAAGAAACGCACAAAGTAATATACATAAACATTGACTTACAATTATATGGACGTCGGGTCCGCGTTAAAAAGTGTCCGAACTTGTAAGGCGTTAAAATCGTATACAGAGCGTCAAACTCCGCTTTATTCTTCATTTGTTCGACTGACAACGCGATATTGCGATGACATTACAATTTAAATTTTGAATAGGTTGACTTGGCACATTTTTTTCGTGGTTTTTGTATTAGACCCGTCGTCCATTTATTTGTAAGTAAAAATGTAACTATTAAAACAAGCCATTTTTTTTTTAAGCTATGTTCAAAATTCAATAGCAATAGCAAATGCACCAAGTGATTTATGTGAAAGTGAAAGCATGAATAATGACCCCCGCGGCATAAAAGACTATGTAATTAACCCAAATTTCTTTTTGCGATTCTACAAGTACTTAAATCGCAATAGAAAATAATTATTGAGGATCCAGAAAACTAAATGCAGACTAGACTTAAAGAACTTGTATCCAAACCAACAAAAATCGTAACAAAAAAAAATATGGGGTGGACATCCTACTCCTACTAAATCTTTGTAATTAATTTGTGTGTGGGATTTGTCGTGTGTGATGGAGTTTTTTCATCCTAACCGTCTAAGCTGTAACTTCATTCATATAATATCAAGTACCTCAATTTGTGATTTTATGTCGCGGATTGCTGTGTCGGTCGAACATTCCGTTGGCAGGCAATAAAAGGACTCAAAAAAGACAAACTAAGTTTGTACACAAATTTTATTTAGAAAGACAAATTAAACACATAAATTTATAAATATTGGCCTAGCGTCACGGATGGTTGGTAACCAAAACAGATGTTGAACAATGAATAATTATGCGAATCTAACCCATACAAGCAGCTCCAGCGGCAGCGATAGTGTGAATCAGAAGTCTAAAATGGCGTTGGAAAGCTTGAAAACTTTAAAAGTTTTGATGTATAAACACCTTGTGGTGCGTATGAAGAGATTCATACACACTCCCGTGGAATTGCTGTCCTCAATGATGTATTTCCTTATACTGTTTCTTGTTAAGGATTTAATTGTTTCTGTAACACCTGAGCATTTACAAATGAGCGATATCAAAGAAACGGTAAGTAATTTTCAGGATTAACTCGCCTATATTTGTTTTTTCAAACAAACCGACGTTTCGGGCCCTTTACAGGTCCCATGGTCACGGTTGACACAGTCAACAGTGACCATGGGACCTCCGGAAAAATAGTTTCATTTCCTATGTGTAACAATCGCGAAAACCTAAGATCTCGATAAGTAATTTTCAACTAACTCTGATGATAAATTAATTAACGAGCTAGCCAAATAAATATTGGTTTTATTAAATTGTCTAATTGCAAAACAACGCACTTGCTAGATGATAATAATGTGCTAGCCAAAAACAATAGTTACCAGATCTCAAACTAAGCTATTCCCTGCACTATGAGTGTAAAAGCCATTGACTTACAATTATATGGACGTCGGGTCCGTGCTAAAAAGTGTCCGAACTTATAGGGCGTTAAAATCATATACAGAGCGTCATTCACGCTTTAGTCTTCGTTTGTTCGACTGACAGCGAAGCAAGCAAAATTAGACAGTACTGCGATGACATTACAATTTAAATTCAACGTTTTAGCTTTTTCATATTCCTTTAAATGTCACTACGTTTAAATAGGTTGTCTTGGGACATTTTTTTCGTGCTTTTTATATTAGACCCGTCGTCCATTTATTTGTAAGTCAATGGTAAAAGCATTGAAATTTATTCCCAGTCACTACCCCAATCACCTAAACCGGAATCAACAAAAAAAGTTAATTTCCCCAAGTTGATCCTATTGAGGAACAAATCCAGAACCTATTCAGCTATTCTATTTTTAATTACTTTATTTTTTCTTAACATTACAAATTTCATACAAATGGACATAGTTAAGCAAGAAGGATCCAATCCACAAAATTATCAAAAAATGAGTTATATAAATATCTCCGGAGTTACATGACATTATGTTTTGAAAATAAACGAGAGTGAGAAATACTTTTAAACTTCAAACTGCCATATCTCGAAAGTGACTGGATGTGCATTGGATCCTTTTTGTCCAATTATGTCATTTTACACTACTCTTCGATAAGTGAGCGTTAGTTTACAAAATAATGAGAAATAATTATATAATAAATTATTTCTAGTGGCCTTCACATGCCAATTTTCAGTTGAATCAGAGCAAATCTCTTTCGGCAGCTATTTTTAATGAAAGAAACACTTATATGGCAGCCATATTAAAAAACATTTTTTACTTTCTGCGGAAATTGACCAAGGTGTATGTCATAAAAATACACAAAAATCCCCCCCATGTATTATAGTTTTTGCAGGCCGTTGATCACTTGTTTACATTTTCCACATTCAGGTCTTCTCATATTTGATTCTTTGCCTTGAAGCCTATCCGCGTACAACGGTATAATTATCTTTTTTCCACCATATCGGGAAGTATGCGTTCTATTTTTCCAAGTGAGTCAGGATTTGTAGCTTTATATACAGGGTGGAAATTTGTAATGCCACCTGGAGGGAAAGTACTCTAAATACTGGAGATAGAAATTTTTACTTAAAGGAAACATTCCTTTATTTTTTAAAAGAAATAAAACTGCATTCATAGATTTTAGAAAATTTCTAGCAACACGCGGGAATCGAACCCGATTTAATCTGAAAAAAATGCACCCTGCACTTTTAATTGCATCGATCGATAGGGTTAATTATAAGAATAAACTCTCTCTCACAAAATTGGTTAATTAAATGAAAAATAAACCATGAAATCTTAACATATTTTAATAAAACGAAAAAAATGGTAATCTAATTAATTAGTTGCTCGAAATGAGCTCTATTTTCTTGTATACACAAATTTAATCTTTTAACGATTTCATTCATTGTTATTTTTGTTGTATGCTTCCCGAATTTTGTGGAAAAAAAAAAACGAAACAAAGAAACGAATTTTGTGAAATTAAAAGAAACAAAAAAACCCAATAAAAACAGAACAGGTCCAAAAGGCGTAGTGTTCATTGGAGGTATCGGCTTGAATTAGATTTGAGAAATTACCTATTGTAAATTAGTCTGGGTGTTCTAGGTCGTGACCCCCAAATGGCTTTCGTTGACTAGTAGTTACAGTACCACACCCTGGACACTTCATATAACGGCAACGTTCGAAAGTTATTTACCTACTACTATTACTACTACATACAGCAAGGCGCTATCTTCACATGCGCAAATGTGGGCGTGAAGTGGCAGGGTTACCCATCACTTTCTCGTACTATTTACGTTACGTGGTCGGAGCGGCAACATAGTGAACATTTTAACGCGAATCTGTTATCTATAATTCTATTAATATAATCCTAATAATTACACTTGTTTATTAGGTATTTATATCGATATATAATATTATATTTTTTATGAATTCACTAATTAAAATAATGTTGAACATTTATTTAAAAAACATATTAAAAGCTGTTAAAATGTTGTATTTTGGACAGGTACTTTTAAATAAGGTAACCAAGGTATTTGAAATTGTGTGTCCAAGTTTATCATTACCTACTTGATAATTAGGTATATTCACTACATAATATTTATCGGCAATGCAAATTGAAAATTCGAGGACCCTTGTCTATTAGCTCACGAAGTTATGGCGTCTCATTTTATTGATATAATAAGTCTGTAATAGTGTATTACTCTGTACTAAATAAATAAAGGAAACAATAACGGAATGGTCTCAGACAAGTTTTTTTTACAAACTGCGACTCATCTTTCGGAAAACTAAAGTAATTCCTCCCTTTATCCCGTTTAGATGATTAAAAACAGCCGTACGCCGCACAACTCACGACCATTATAAATAGTAACGTAAATGATGTTATATATTACCGTACAAGTGAATGATGTATAAATGAAAACTGTATTCAAATATCAAAGCCGTCTTAGCGCGAAAACGACTCACCGACAGCCATGGTGCCGTTCAGTCAATGTGACTGTCAGTGTGTGGGGCGTGGTGTGGTATCGAAAGCTAGGAAGGGGCGGAGAGTTCCGTTCTCGTTACTTTTTTGTTATCTGACAGTACAGTGGATATTGTACATAGTTCGAGGCCAAGTAATGAGTGTGGTTGTCTGGCACATTAAGAACAGAATTGAACCAGGTCAATAAGAACATTGAATTCTGAATTGGACTTGGTGAATAAAGTTATTATTATTTATATAATGATCGTACAAACACAAAGAAAAATTCCTTCGATGTGACTGGACTTGAACCAGCATTGGTTGCCATACCGGGGCTGCCACTCTTACCAACTGAGAAGAGAAAACAAAAAAGAAATTTTTTTACTTAATTTTCAGTTGCGCCTATTTGTGGTAAAAGGGGCAAATTGTAAAGTCCTGTGGGTGCATTTTCAAAAACTATTATGTAATACACCAAGTTGCCTTCTAAATGGGCATACAATATCCACTGGGAAAACATATACCCAGAACTAATTGACACATGATTATACGCAGTACAATTTAGGTTTATAAGAATGACAGACAGGTGCTTTTATACAGAATATACCGAGATAAGAAAGATTAGAAAAAGAAAAGAAGAAAAAAGATATTTATTTGTGCACTAGGGTGGTCACTGATATGTTATGAACTTATGTATGTGTTGTCTGCTGTGGACTATAACCAGTGCAATGTAACCGAAACAAAGTTAAAAAGTATTTTACACTTATAAACTTAATTTTACTATTTTACTGTGTAAGCTATGGTGTATGTTGAAAAATCTTTTATATTAAACAATTAGGGCTTTACAGAAATCTTTATTATTCCATTTTGATTGTAAATTAATTATTATTTTTCTTACAGGAACCTTACACGCTTAAAGTCGCAGATTTGGTGTATACTAATTTAAATCTAATTTTATACACCCCTGATACAAATATAACGAGGCAGCTTATGGACAGAGTTGGGCCAAAATTACGTTTATTCCGGTCCAACAACATTTCTGGTATGTAAATCTTTTTGCAATAAGAATGTATTGGTCAAGAATATTATGATGACGGTCTCTGTTTGCCCAGTGGTTAATACTGGAGTAGATTCCAGGTTCAATTCCTGGTAGGATGGATTTAGGAAACGAATTTTTTTGTTTAAGTGTTCTGAGTAGCACCCCAGAGTGCAATCCGTTGCTCTGGTACAGGAATTATTGTGGTCCACGAGCGCTATTTGTAATTCATTAGTGAAAACACAAGTATTTATACTAATAATGTGTGTATTTATGACTATTGTTTATATATGTACTTTATTGATGAGTAGTGTATTTATTTATAACCACTTTCATTACAAGATATTCTTTGGTTGCACCCCCTATTGAATTTCTATCAACAGTTAAATTACTATCCTAAGTTTGCCTGGAAGAAATTATCACTTAGCAATAAGGCCGCCTATTGTACATTATCTTACTCTGTGATACTTACATTACTGTTCTGTGTTGTCATTGTAATTTTTAATATGCAATAAAGAATATTTCATTCATTAATTCAAGCTTTATTTATGTATAGAAGGTAATAAGGACAAAATAAGTTTAGTATAGTTTCACTGTGTCTGGCCAAACATTAGGCATACAAACATATTAATGTTACATCATTTTTTTTTTATATATTTTATATTTTTTCACTTCAACAGGCTTATTCTCAGTTGTCACCACTGTTTTTGTTCTCACTGTTCCAAATGGAAAAAAAATCCCATATGTTACCAGGTGATGACAAAAGGGATAAAAAATCCCGGTTGTTGCCAGAGGTGATTTCTACTGGCGACAAATGGGAAAAAATACCCATATGTTGCCAGTCCCCTTAGCATGGGCTACGCATGATAGTCGCGACGCGCCCGATAAAATTGGAATAAGCGCGCGCTATTGGCTGCCTCAATCAGATCTAATTAAGATACCCAATAGCACGCGCTTTTTTCAATTTTATCGCACGTCGCGACTATCATGCGTAGCCATGCTACGGGGCCAGGTGGTGACAAATGGGATAAAAAAGTCTCAGTTGTTGCCAGTGGTGATTTTCACTGGAGACATAAACCCATATGTTACCAGGTGGTGACAAATGGGAATAATATTATACACTATAAAATAAAATAACTCTTGAAATCGTCACACTAATTACGCGCTACTAATCATACCAGCAACCAGTCCTTGGGCCTTACCATGAATTCTTATTACGATTCAGGGGGGCTACTCGCCGACATACTCCGACATCCGTCCGAAACAATTACTGTCAAATAAGTAATATTCGACAAAATTAAAAGACAAGTATCCAGTATGAAGCTTCATTCGCATCACGCGTCTTTTCATTTGGTCAAGTATTGCTTATTTGGCAGTAATTGTTTCGGACGGAAATCGAGAGTAGACCCCCCAGTTTAGGACCTAAAATGGATCGTTGTGAGACAGCGCTACATGAAGTATATATTACCATCCGGCTTTTTTGTCGTTACGAACCTATACTGAACTGTAATAAAAGTTCATGGTACGGCGCGTGATTATTTTGTCATTCTTATTATGTACATAACGCACTGTTAATACAATAGTGTATTAACTCAAAAAGAGGACTTTGTCTGAATCGATGAAAAACAAATTACTCACTTTCCACAAAAAGAAAACAGTAAAATTTATATGTTATACATTGACTTACAGTTATATGGACGTCGGGTCCGCGCTAAAAAGTGTCCGCACTTGTAAGGCGCTAAAATCGTATACAGAGCGCGACACTCCGCTTTAGTCTTCATTTGTTCTACTGACAGCGCGATACTGCGAGGACATTACAATTTAAATTTCGAATAGGTTGACTTGGGACATTTTTTTCGTGGTTTTTGTATTAGACCCGTCGTCCATTTATTTGTAAGTCAATGATGTTATAGCTTATTATAGACACTTAAACAATTTCTAAAATATATTGAAAAATAAAATGGAAAAATAATTTCATGTTTTTGAATAAGGATTATTTTGGCCGGAAATAGCTCACATGAAATGTGTCTCATATTGAGTTAAGTAGATATCTTTTGATTGTTTCTTACAACAATCTAACGACGGTTTTTTTGACGTGTAGAGAATCAAATTTTACATTCAATAGTTATATAATATTAAATTTCACATATTTTGAGTTACAACATTATTGTAATAGCAGTGCGATAATAATATTATACTTTCAGGAGATTCCAGGTTTATGAATGATTACATAGGTGTTGAAAATGAAACTTTACTTGATTATTTTGTGACCACGAGAAAGAAATCGAAGAACAAAATAAATGACATGCATTTAGACCAATACTCAATCGTCATATTCCACGATGTTGAGGTGAGGATATTTCGATTTCAGTAGAATATATTATTCAGTGGCATATTACTAAAAAACTGGTAGACTAATGTTTGACCGACCGCCTTTCAAACAGAGGCCGTGGATTCGAGTCCGGGCTCGCACCTCTTGAGTTTCTCGGAATTTATGTGCGAAACTTATTTTCAAATTTGTCGTGAGTTTTTGACGAAGGAAAAAATCGTGATGAAACCTACACGTCGAATAAGGTTCATAACCCACGGAAAACGTGTGAAATCTTCAAACCCTCGCCTGACAGGAGACCCGTACCCATAAGTGGGACGAACGATGATATCCTACTGTTAATACATTAGTGTTTTTTCTCAGAATCGACGAAAAACTAATTACTCGTTTCCCGTGAAAGATAATTAAAACGTATGTATAGGTTATACTTTATTACAAACAATTTCCTACTTGCCAAATATATTTAAAAATAAAAGAGAAATAATTTTATGTTTTTGAATAAGGACTATTTTCACCAGAACTAGCTCACATAGAGCGTGTCTCATTTTCAGTTAAGTAGATATCTTTTAGTTGTTTCCTACAATAATCTAAAAACAGTTTTATTAACGTGTAGAGATAATAAATAAAATTTTACGTTCAATAATGGTATATAATATAACACTATTGTAATAGCAGTGCGGTATTACAAGAATGGAAAGAGCCCTATTTCAAACTCTATAAAAGTTAAACTCAAATTATTTTCCAAGTTAACTAAGTTAAAAACCACAAATATAAAACCATAAATAATTAAGATAACAGTTACTGTTTGTGGTTGGCATAATAATGCGCGCATTCATTGTATTTTATCAATAAATAATAATGTATTGTCACAACATTGAGGACAGCGTCAAATACATTACAATACAATACAAGGACAAAGGATAGGAGCGCGATTTGGGCGAAAAAGTCACTGTGTGGTTCTTGAATCGTACTCTAAAGGTCTATCCACACATATCCGGGTCGTGCCCTGTTAGGGGCTCAAAAAAATATCGTTGCGTACATTTTATATGAACCCGTTCACACATGTCCGTGTCCGAGCCGGGGCGCCGGGACGGGCCTGCATTTCATACAAAGAAGCACGCCCCGTCCACGTCCCGGGCACGGCCCTGATGTGTATGGATAGTCCTTTAATCACACCCCTCGTGGAAGAATGGCATAAGTGGAATTACATCAAAAATGTTTATTGCTCCATTAGATACAGAAAAATAATAAATATAACCCACATCCTCTCCATTGCCATTCTTCCATGAGGGGTGCGAAACTATGACCACTAGTTTCTTCATACAATCATACTAGGCCGATTAACAACACATTAAATTTATTTAAAGTATTTTTTTCAACGTCGCAACTTTTTTTGCACCATTTTAATCTCATTCGTCTATCGTAGTAAATCTAAATTCATTCAATCAAAGTATTAAAATGAAGTTTCCATTAATTTAAAAAAAAGAAATCCAGCATAATCAGAAAATATATGGAAATACAAATCAAACCCTGTATCTGCGATTGATGGTCGTCGACTTTTTTAGCTGGTCCAGGACTATACAGAACTTGGACATTGTTCTTTAACATTATTAGTGACTGGTTTAAAAGATAACAAGTTAGGGGGTCATTACACTTATTAACTCAGATTAAGCTGGTCAGAAAGTCAAAGAAGTTATTGTAATAACTAATAATAATAACAGGTTCCGTGGCCGAACGGTCATCATGCCAGACTGCCACATTGAGGTCCCAGGTTCGATTCCCGGGCCGGGAGAAATATTTGTATGGCCTACATTTATTTCTCTCATGTGTTTGGATGTAATTTGTGGTTGTCTCTGTGTGTGTCCATGGCACCCGCGACACAGGGTTGCCCTAGTGCGGGGCTATGTTCAGTGTGTGCGTTATTATTAGTATTAAATAATAATTTATTCCAGTAAAATTTTTACACTTCAAAACCTCATTTTTTAAGTTCACTACGCTGACCTCCTTGAGACGAACGGTCAAGAGACTCTAGGGATTGCTCTTTTCAAATAAGCTTATATGCTATGGGATACACTTTGAATCATAATTGTGTGGAATCTAGACTCATATTGTCTTTCCCTACATCTTTATCTAACAAATACTCTTCAATTTTCTAATATGACCTCAATTAATATACTTTTAATGCAAATTTTAAACTTAGGAAATGGTAATCTTAATATATGTTCCGGAATCTTATTGTAAAAACGTATACAGTTCCCCGTAAAATAATCGTTTACCTTAGTTAAACGAAATCGTGGTATCATGAGTTTGGACTTAGTTCTAAGGTTAATGTTATGGATGGAAAACGCTTTATGCCCGTGAACGGAGCGAAAAAGACGTGCATTTCGCATCGACTCGCACGAACGCTGCTCGACACAGACCGACAACAAATTTGCTTCCTATGAATTTCCGATCGCGTCCTTACGCAACCGGCGACGGCTGATTCTGATTTAGCACGGGAATACACGTCAGATTTCGTTTCTGAGGGTCGTATTCCAGAACTGTACTCAATGCTCAAGTCAGGATTTGAGCAGACTTGAGTATGATTTCAAGCACTGGAAATACGACCCTAATGGCAAGGAGTTGAGTATGATTTTCAGTGCTCACTGCAATACTCAAGTCCTGACTTGATTATTGAGTAGAGGTCTAGAATACGACCCTGACAGTCGGTCGGTTCCGATTATCTGATCGTGTTTACTTAGTACACTTCCGATTCTTTAGTCAGACTTTTTCTGAACTCTGTCGTTTCAGAGCTATCATCGCGAAGGTATTGATCGCATACGGCGCAGAAAGAGATAGAAGAAAAAGACAGACGACGAATTACTGTTACTAAATGCATATTTGGTCGTTTTGTTGGGTCGACAATCGTCGACAATCGGACCGGCTACAAAATCGTCGATCCGATTATTGGATCGAACGTGTATTGGGTGTTCAAACAAATGTATGGTACGAACGCCTTCCGAGAATCGGAGCAGTTTATCGTATCCGACTATTGTATGGAAAAATCGGACGTGTATTGCCAGGCTTAGAAACGACTGCCGCTTGTTCGAATGCATTGATAATTCAAATTCGCTGAAAATATCGATTAGTTAGTGATAAGGAGAGCTGTGTTTTGGTTTGGAGTTTTTTAATATTACGTGTTTTTCTTTAACAGGAAACAAAACTGCCCAGTCATTTGCGTTACACTATAAAGATGAATGAAAATTTCCGAGTGTACGACTACCAATCCGAGGACTCCATGATTGGACCCCATTACAACTTTGGTGAGTTCTGTTTTCAATACCCCATCCGCATTTGGTCTATGTGCTGGACTGTAGGTGACCCGTACCAAACAATGAGAATTATACGAGTTTATGGTCGCGGCTGTACAGTGTGATGTTTTTATGAAACTCGCCTGTCGGCTCGATTCATAAACCCAAACTCGTATTTTAATGCCTTTCATTATGTAAGTCACCTAAACTACTAGTTTATTACGGTATGACTTATTTATATTTACACGATATTTTCGGTCGATATTTTGTCGGTAAAAAGTGAGTGACAATGGTAAGTAAGTACTGGAGATGAACGTAGTCGTCGACAGCGAAAAGGGGTAGACAAGTGTGAAACAGATGGCTTATGCAAGCTCAAATAATACTGGAGTATAATTTAAAACACGTGATTTCTCATAAGCTTTCATATTCGAAAAATAACACCACAATGACTTCATACAAATTAATTAATTTAGCAACGTATTACAGAAATTCTTAACAAAATGAATTGTTAGAATTTTGTCTTCACTCAACGACTAAGTGATCTACTGCTCTAACTTCCCTCTAAACCTCCCCTTACATCTCCTTCTCCCTCCAGCACTCCTACCCTAGTGCCTTATTGGCTGGTGCTCAGCGATTTCATTGGCCAAGACGCCAGCCAATGAGTGTACAGGAAATAATCAAAACCTATACTAATTACTTGAAAACAAACGCAAAATAGGCGCCTTGACGTCGAGTTGCGGACACCAGTCCGTTACACCAAGTACCAAGTACTTGAAAACAAGAGTTACGAGTTGCATGCTTACGAATAAAACACTTCTTAAATAATAACATTAATTATATGGAATAGTGAACTATTTATATAGGTATTTCTGTTCTTAGAGTCAGTCAACCAGTGGCCATGTAGCGATCCGAAATATCGAGATGAATTTATATTACAAAACATACTTAATATATATTACTAATTTCAGATACCATTTATACTATTACTATTACTATTATATTTTACTATTAATATAAATTCATATAATATAATTGTTACACCAAAATCTATTGACTTATTGCTGTAAATAATAATAATATTATATAAGTTAATAATATGAAGCAGTGATGGGATACGATCAGTGAAATCGAGAGTCTGTTTTAAAATATAGAATGGAATAGGGAGGAATGGAATTGAACGGAACGAAACAGAACGAAATGGATTAGAATTGAAATCATTTATTCATTCCGTATAAAATCACAGTACACTACATTACTTTAAAATACATAACAATTTGCGACTACAATATTAGATATAAAGCAACTGGCCTCATTACAAACTATTTAACAAATATAATGAGAATTAAAGAAAAGAAATATTTTAAAAGAAAACTGAAATGAATAATTAATGTAATGAATAGTAATTAACAAAACTGGCACAGTGTGCGTTGTGTTCTTACAGAATCCATCATCCCTCAGCCTATTGTCGTCTCACTGAAGGTGGTACGACACTATTTTTCAGTGGATCCGGTAACAGAAATACACATGACACGGAACATAGCAGATGTATAACTAGATTTCACTGTCATAAGCACTATTTCAACACAAAACAATTTTATTTAAAAATGTTATGTTATGTTAAAAATGTTGTACACATACCCTATACCTAATCAATAAATTTTTAAGTAACTATAAATAATAAATAAATCTCATTTAAGTATTTGTAATATTATTATAATTAAAAAATAAGTAACAAAATGCAAAAATATATCCTCGACACACCACCAGTTTGATGAGATTTTTGAATTTTAAATAAACGCTCTTTGTGTAACTTTTTAAACACAAAAGTGACAATGCATTTCTGATAGGTGGAGGTATATTGTTCCAACATTTCGAGGCTGCATAACGAAAACTATCTCGAAAAGCCGCTGTTCCGTGTCAAGTGTCTAACGTGCATGGATGAATAATTTGGTTTGTCATGTAGGTACTGCCTCCGTGGCCGAACGGTTACCGTGTCGGACTGCCACGCATAGGTCCCAGGTTCGATTCCCGGGCCGGGAGAAATATTTGCATGGCCTACATTTATTTATGTCTTCGTTTTCTTCATTCAAATTTTACCGAGCAATTTTATATAAGCGGCTAGCTAATAATTCTATATAAATGTTGCTTTACAAGGGATATGTGCGATGTGGAAAAAAATATTGATATCCCTCTTAGATAAATAAACAAGTAGTGTTTTTACCAGTAATCATCAAAGTAGCGATGCAACAGCAATCGATACATTTAAAAAAAAAGGTAAAATGTTACAATCCTCGCATTTTCCCCACGTCAATCCCACAAAATGCTCAATCGAGTTGAAATTCACCGCAGTTTGGGGAATTCGGCACAAATTGACAACACTATGAGTGTTGCCCATTTATTTTGAGCAATGTATCTATGAAGAATAATATTAACAACAAAAGAGGAAATGCAGTAAAAATATATACAATTGTCGTATTGTCATATTTTTATTTTTATTTTTTTAGAAAAAAAAAACGTACTTCAGAATAAAAACGGTTTCTTTTCATGTTTTTTTTTCACCTCAGAAAAAAAAAGGTTTTACTAAGTGTGATATTTGCCCGATGTGGGACGGGAGAACAAAACCTACTTGCATTTTGCAAACGCTGGGTAGGATTTTTTGTGCGAGCCAGCAAACGTATCTCAATATATCGAACACATTATGTCGACTGAATCGACCTTGACATGAATAAACATTATATCGATTGACCCATGTCATATTTAAATAATAAATAAATAACGCACACACTCAACATAGCCCCGCACTAGGGAAACCCTGTGTTGCGGGTGCCATGGACACACACATAGACAACCACAAATTACACTCAAACTCACGAGAGAAATAAATGTAGGCCATACAAACATGTCTCCCGGCCCGGGAATCGAACCTGGGACCTCTGCGTGGCAGTCCGTGGTAACCGTTCGGCCCCGGAGGCAGTTAAAAATATTTCTATCAGTAGGTACTATAAATTGACCGATAACAGCGCAAAAGTGGTGTAACCCCATGAAATACATTATACAAATAAGCCAAATTCATTTTAATCTAACCGTAACACAAACCTAACCATTCGAATTATTTTGTTTTGAAATTGAACCGCAGTTAGTAAATTTTGTTTATTCGTTGCTCGATCATTTGTCCCTGGTTCATTCACCCGAACAGGGTGCTCAGTTTCTTTTGTGAGATTTTCCCGACTGATTGTACTGACCGATTGTACTCGGTATCGAGTTAATATTTTTGTTAGTTATCAGCATCGAATACACAAAGAGAATTTTTTGCAACTGATTGAATTAAACGAATCAAATCATTCAATGGCGTTTTCTTTACTTTTTTATTGATTAGGTTATCTTCTTATAATAGACAGGATGATTTTGTCAATAAACCTGATATCGGTTATTTTACTGATTATATCGGCGAATGACCCCACTAAGGCTATAATAATATAACACAAACGCTATCAAATAAAGAATATCAAATCTACAACAAATTATCTGACGTACTAAAAACAGTAGAAAAAATCACCACTTTTTGTAATAAACTCAAATTATTAAATAAAAAATGCTGTTACCCAATTAATGAACATTTTGAAGAAATTTACTCTCTTAAATAAATAACAAAAATATATTTATCTGTTTTGACCTTTGACTTATTGACAAATAAAATCGTATCCCTTGAGTTGTGTACTACTTTGTTAATTGCTTTGAGTCAATGATAAGATCGCCCAGTCTGATCCTGAATTGGTTTTTTGACATATGGATACTGTAACAGTGACTGCCCACTACTGTTGTCGTTATTTTTATTTTTTTAAAGCTTTTCCGTCACGCCTTTTTTTCGCGGAGAGGTATTTACCGCCTCCTCAGGTGCTCTAGTGGAAGAGATCCGGGATCGATGCTGCGCACCGGAAACCTGGTTGAACAAGTCGTGGTGTGCCTGGTGGCAATGGACACGCCTGTCCATAACAGTTACAGTAAGGAGTACTGCCATTGCGCCTGTCATCTTGAGACATATATTGACAAGTCCTATGTGTAGGAAATGAAACTATTTTTCCGGATTTAAATCGCGTATATTTGTTTCTTCAAACAAACCGACGTTTCGGGCCCTTTACATGTCCCATGGTCACGGTTGACTGAGGTGGTACAGTCTTCAACCAGTTATGTCTAATATTAACACTGAATACAGTTTTATTGCTAAAATATTACCAATAAAACTGCATATTAGCTACTAAAAATGCAAGTAAAGGTTTTTCAACAAGAATTTTGTTTACAAAATAAAACAATAAATTTAAATGACAATGATTCAAAAATTGGTTTGCAATAAATTCGTTGTTTCGATGGCTGTGTGACTTGTGCCGTTGGCATTTGGCCGTTTTGAAAAGCCCTTTGTAAAAGTTTGCTCGGGGAACTCGTAGTTAGTCGTGTATACAATATATATAATGGAACAGATAAGACTGTTCCAGTAAAAGGTTTTCAAATATTTGCAACGTACTGAGTATCTTGTACAGTTAACCAAATATTTAGGCCGAGACATGACTTGTACGATACGATTGTTCGACGGAATGCAGGTTTTCTATATGTGTAGTGTACTTATAAATTTATGTATTTCTTCTCAGTATTGTAAACATATTTTTAACCGACTTAAAAAAAGGAGGAGGTTCCCAATTCGACTGTGTTTATTGTAAGTATGTTACGTTATTGCTCGTGCATTCGTGAATCGATTTCAATACAACTTGCTCTATGCTCTATCAATAATTTCCCCTAAATTTGATTATATTTTTCTGCTC